CTATAGTGCATGGGGTTGCAAAAGTTGGACATGACTGAAGAGACAGCATGCACACACACACTATCCTGAACATAACTTCACTGGAAGGAATACCAATCCTTCAAACAAACAAAAAGATCAGCGATGGTCTGTTTATATAATAAGGAAGCTTCTAAGGATGCATATGTATGTGCTCAGCCTGTGTTTGTTTTTATGTATTATTTGTGTAAAAAGTACTATAAACCTATTACAATACAGTATATATAGCTCATTATGTTAGCTGGGTACCTAGGCTAACTTGTTGGACTTATGAACAAATTGTGAACTTACAAATATGCTCTCAGAACAGAACTCATTTGCATGTAGGGAACTTACTGTAGTCATGTTTATCAAGTATTTATGTGTTAGGAAGTGAACATATCAAAAATGTATACAAAGTCCCTGTTCTCAAGCTGCCCAAGTGTGTAGGAGAGAATTATGTAAACAAAGCAAAGCGAAACAATGCAATTCATGCTACTATGTACCAAATGCCAAGGCCACAGCACCCTTGCACTGGTCCAAAAGGAGGAGTGATTTTGCAAGTGGACATTAACAGCTGCAGAGAAACTTTCAGTGATTAGGGACTGGAGGATGTCCCAGTTTGGGGGGAGAGGAGGGTGCCTGAGTCGGGTACAATGGAAGGTGGAATTCACGCATTAAGCTGGGGACAGACTGAATTTCATGCCAATGGGTTTGGGCTCCTTGCTTCTGCCTCTGGGGAGCTTTCAAAGGGTTTTGGGCAGAGTAACCTGATCAGATTTGTCTACTAGAAAGGAGCACAGGTGTAGGAGGGATGGGCTGCATAGGATGGCTAGCAGATGAAGAGACTGGGAGAACCCAAACAGGCGGCTGATTTAGTGGTAAGTTTTAATGCTCAAGAAAAATACACAGGAATCTACTGAAGCCCACTATTCAGAATGAGGTCCTGAGATTCTAACACTTAGTTTGTGTGTGTTAGTTGCTCAGTTGTGTCCGACTCTTTGCAATCCCATCGACTGTAGCCCACCAGGCTCTGTCCATGGGATTTTCCAGGCACAAATACTGGAGTGGGTTGCCATTTCATTCTCCAGGGAATCCTCTGGACCCAGGGATCAAGCCGGGTCTCCTTAACTGCAGGCAGATTCTTTACCACTACACCACCTGGGAAGCCCAGAACACAGTTCAGTATCCTTTATAAAAGGAACGTGTCTGCCACGTTGGACAGCAAAGCAAGGACTTCTTGTACAGGGAGACATGGTGAGGGCTAGCTACTGCCTGAGCTGGTAAGCACTGGAAGGGTGGGAGCAGGGAGGAAAGGGTCTGCACCCCACAGATTAAAACTACAGTCGTGATTTTAATAGAAACAGGGCTAGAACAATACATTCCCAGCACTGATAGGGGTTGGGTGTTGGATTCCCTTCCAGGTATCCAGAGGAAGGATGAAAAGACACTTAGTTCTGAATTAAAACCTGGAACTCCTTTTCTCATACAAACAATGTTATAAATACATTATATGACAGGCCTCTTGAATGAATTGTTCTTCAGTTGCTCAGTCAGGTCTGACTCTTTGCAACCCCATGTACTGCAGCGCACTAGGCTTCCCTGTCCTTCACTATCTCCCAGAATTTGATCAAATTCATGTCCATTGAGTCACTGATGCCATCTATCCATCTCATCCTCTGTCGCCGCCTTCTCCTCCTGCCCTCATTTTTCCTACCATCAAAGTCTTTTCCAGTGAGTTGACTCTTTGCATCAGGTAGCCAAAGTGTTGGACCTTCAGCATCAGTACTTCCAATGAATATTTGAGGTTGATTTCCTTTAGGATTGCCTGGTTTGATCTCCTTGCTGTCCAAGGGACTCTCAAAAGTCTTCTCCAGCATCATAGTCAGAAAGCATCAGTTCTTCGGTGCTCAGCTTTCTTTATAGTCCAACTCTCACATCCATACATGACTACTGGAAAAACCATAGCTTTGACTAGACAGACCTTTGTTAGAAAAGTAATGTCTCTGCTTTTTAATATGCTGTCTAGGTTGGTCATAACTTTTCTTCCAAGTAGCAAGTGTCTTTTAATTCATGGCTGCAGTAACAGTCCACAGTGATTTTGGAGCCCAAGAAAATAAAGTCTGTCACTGTTTCTATTTTCCCCCCATCTATTTGCCATGAAATGATGGGACCAGATGCCATGATCTTCATTTTTTGAATGCTGAGTTTTAAGCCAGCTTTTCCACTCTACTCTTTCACCTTTATCAAGAGGCTCTTTAGTTACTCTTTGCTTTCTACCGTTAGGGTGGTGTCATCTGCATATCTGAGGTTATTGATATTTCTCCCAGCAGTCTTGATTCCAGCTTGTGCTTTATCCAGCCCAGCATTTCACATGGTGTACTCTGCATATAAGTTAAATAAGCAGGGTGACAATATACAGCCTTGACGTATTCCTTTCTCAATTTGGAACCAGTCCGTTGTTTCATGTCCAGTTCTAACTGTTGCTTCTTGACCTGTATACAGGTTTCTCAAGAGGCAGGTAAGGTGGCCTGGTATTCCCATCTTTTTAAGAATTTTCCACAATTTGTTTTCACGCAGTTAAAGGCTTTAGCATAGTCAATGAAGCAGATGTTTTTCTGGAATTCCCTTACTTTTTCTGTGATCCAGTAATGTTGGTAATTTGGTCTGTGGTTCCTCTGCCTTCTAAATTCAGCTTGAACATCTGGAAGTTCCTGGTTCACATGCCGTTGAAGCCTAGCTTGAAGGATTTTTAAGCATAATCTTGCTAGCATGTGAAATGAGCACAATTGTATGGCAGTGTGAACATTCTTTGGCATTGCCTTTCTTTGGAGTTGAAATGAAAACTGACCTTTTCCAGTACTGTGGCCACTGCTGAGTTTTCCAAATTTGCTGGTATATTGAGTGCAGTACTTTAACAGCCTCATCTTTTAGGATTTGAAATAGTTCAGCTGGAATTCCATCACCTACCCTGGCTTTGTTCGTAGTAATGCTTCCTAAGGCCCACTTGACTTCACATACCAGGATGTCTGGCTCAAGGTGAGTGATCACACCATGATGGTTATCTGGGTCATTAAGACCTTTTTTGTACAGTTCTTCTGTGTATTCTTGTCACCTCTTCTTAATATCTTCTACTTCTGTTAGGTCCATACCATTTTTGTCCTTTATTGTGCTCATCTTGAATGAATAGCAAGTCTGAAATCTAGTCCATTTGTATACTATTATATTGTCTTCCAGATAGTTTACTAACAACCAGATTTTGGGAACATGACTTGTCTGTAAAGTGGAGATTCTCTGCGGTTGAGTTTATAATCATGCTACATCATCTGCTATAAATTCAAGGTCATCTTGAGAATTCTTTGTGTTGCTGCAAAAAACTGTATCAGGAACTATCACCAAGGATAATGGCTTGGAAATAGTTCTATTTGAAAAATAAGTCACAGTTTTTGTTTTTGCTAGAATAGAACTTTATTTATGGTATCAAGATTTTTTAAAATGGTTTTATATTTTAAAGTATGCAATAAATTTTGATACATTAATCTTGGTAATATTTTTCCCATATGAGAAGATTTTAGAAAACAATGTCAAGTGGCTTATAATTCAAAAGAGTTGTTTGACTTGATAATTCTCTGGAATTTCAGCATTATAAATAAAAAATTAAAACAAAACCATTTAAATTAGGATGAAATGCATTTGTAATACAATTTTATGTCCATTAAAATTTGTTTGATTACAGAGAAAATATAGGCTAAAATTATGTGCTTATAAGTTCTAGAAAAATATGACATCCTTGCTTTAAGAAAATGACCCTATTTACTTCCAGCTGTAGAATGCGTTTTGAGATACTTTGCTGTTTGGGATGAGGGGCTGTGTTGCTTGATACAGGTTCCTTTCAGACCATCACTGCATAACTGGAAAATGAAGCAGATGCTGGTCTATGGCTGGGTGCTGGTGGGAGTGTCTGGTCTTATTAACACGCTGTTTTATCTGAGTCACAGAATCATCCAAGTGAATGAGTCAGATGAAAAGCAAGCTATATATTTTCTCAAGGTCTGATATCTGCCATATTTGACAGAAGTGATATTTAAACAATCATGTGGTAAAATCCTTTTTTAACAAAAGCAGTTTTCACGTTCAGTTCTACATAATGAGAACATTCCAAAATGCATTGGCCCATCTTAACATTACTTTGCTCATGTGGAGAAAATGAATTCTGATGGTAAGATCCATATACAGATAAAAATATGTATACATACATAATTTGTATGTATTCAATACCAGAGATGATCCTGCCTTGTCTGTTAGCAGTCAACTCATGTTTAAATGAAGAGATTTCTCTTTGGGAGTGTGGTTCATGTTCACATCTGATTTGACAAAATCTGACGGCCGGCACAAAGTACCTTCTGATTGTATGAGACTTTACAGAGCATCTCTCTGGAACTGACAACAATCTTACCTGACAATGAGAGTGTGATGCATGGTTATTTTCCTTTGACAGATGAAGAACCCCCAGAGAGGTGAAGTATGTTGCTTCAGTTTAAACATTTGGTAAGTGGTAAAAACAGGGTGTTTCCCCTGAAAGCTGTTTAACACAGAAGATAAGACAGAGGGTGCACGGATCTGTGAATTACTTTCTCTAAGCTGGGCTGTTGATGTGATGTTTGGAAAGTGGTTTTGCTTCTGTCACTTATGAGATCGCTACCAGGTGCTGAAAAGTACACATGGTATTAGACCCCAGCAAACTGTAACCAACAGCCGGATACACTTTTTATACCTCTTGGAGTGTGTGTGTGTGTGTGTGTATTTCAGAAGATTCATAACATATATTTACAATTATCCCTAAATCACCAAAATACCATATTGAGAAATAGCTTTAACTTTTTTCAAGAGCATTTTTCTATACAATCATTCCAATACAGGTATAAAGTATATAAATACAGCCTTGGCACACTTTACCTTTCCAGGTGCACTAAAACACTTTCCCTTTCATACATTAATCTTGGTAATATTTTTCCCATATGAGAAGATTTTAGAAAACAATGTCAAGTGGCTTATAATTCAAAAGAGTTGTTTGACTTGATAATTCTCTGGAATTTCAGCATTATAAATAAAAAATTAAAACAAAACCATTTAAATTAGGATGAAATGCATTTGTAATACAATTTTATGTCCATTAAAATTTGTTTGATTACAGAGAAAATATAGGCTAAAATTATGTGCTTATAAGTTCTAGAAAAATATGACATCCTTGCTTTAAGAAAATGACCCTATTTACTTCCAGCTGTAGAATGCGTTTTGAGATACTTTGCTGTTTGGGATGAGGGGCTGTGTTGCTTGATACAGGTTCCTTTCAGACCATCACTGCATAACTGGAAAATGAAGCAGATGCTGGTCTATGGCTGGGTGCTGGTGGGAGTGTCTGGTCTTATTAACACGCTGTTTTATCTGAGTCACAGAATCATCCAAGTGAATGAGTCAGGTGAAAAGCAAGCTATGTATTTTCTCAAGGTCTGATATCTGCCATATTTGACAGAAGTGATATTTAAACAATCATGTGGTAAAATCCTTTTTTAACAAAAGCAGTTTTCACGTTCAGTTCTACATAATGAGAACATTCCAAAATGCATTGGCCCATCTTAACATTACTTTGCTCATGTGGAGAAAATGAATTCTGATGGTAAGATCCATATACAGATAAAAATATGTATACATACATAATTTGTATGTATTCAATACCAGAGATGATCCTGCCTTGTCTGTTAGCAGTCAACTCATGTTTAAATGAAGAGATTTCTCTTTGGGAGTGTGGTTCATGTTCACATCTGATTTGACAAAATCTGACGGCCGGCACAAAGTACCTTCTGATTGTATGAGACTTTACAGAGCATCTCTCTGGAACTGACAACAATCTTACATGACAATGAGAGTGTGATGCATGGTTATTTTCCTTTGACAGATGAAGAACCCCCAGAGAGGTGAAGTATGTTGCTTCAGTTTAAACATTTGGTAAGTGGTAAAAACAGGGTGTTTCCCCTGAAAGCTGTTTAACACAGAAGATAAGACAGAGGGTGCACGGATCTGTGAATTACTTTCTCTAAGCTGGGCTGTTGATGTGATGTTTGGAAAGTGGTTTTGCTTCTGTCACTTATGAGATCGCTACCAGGTGCTGAAAAGTACACATGGTATTAGACCCCAGCAAACTGTAACCAACAGCCGGATACACTTTTTATACCTCTTGGAGTGTGTGTGTGTGTGTGTGTATTTCAGAAGATTCATAACATATATTTACAATTATCCCTAAATCACCAAAATACCATATTGAGAAATAGCTTTAACTTTTTTCAAGAGCATTTTTCTATACAATCATTCCAATACAGGTATAAAGTATATAAATACAGCCTTGGCACACTTTACCTTTCCAGGTGCACTAAAACACTTTCCCTTTCGCCTTATTCTGCTCACCCTGACTTTTGATGGTTTCAAAATTCCTTTACACGTCTCTAAGTTCCTTGAGGATGGGGATGGATTTCTTTGAAGCTGATAACTCTCACCCTTTGGCTTAGACAGAGCTATGCATATCGCAGGCATTCAGTAAACCTTTGTTGAATGCATGCACAGGATTTTTATGTACTTCTATTTAGCTAAAGTAGAAGTCTATCTTTAGCATTTTGCCTAAAGAGTTTTGGATTTATAGCAAAACATTATTTTCATAGTAAACAGTTTTTTAAAAAGCATAAGAAACATGGTAATAAATTTAATACAAATGATACACTGTAACTATTCTTTGGTAATTTTTAACAAATTATTTGGTTTTCTTGACTAAAGTGAAATACTAAAAATATAAAAATGCAACTACAGAAATTAGCTTAATCTGTAAACATAATAAACCCTGTAAACATATAAGTACTACATAATTGTGCAAGTTTAAAGAATGACTAGTAAAGGCAAGTATTACACATTTAACTTAGTTCTTCAAGGCATATTTAGGAATACTGCTTTGTTGAGCTTTAGTTTGAAGAAGGAATTCTTTTAACTAAATGAAAACAGTAAAGAATAATGGCTTTATCAATGAGCCATAGGATATACAGGCAAGTGGGAGGCACTGATACCTTTCAACTTTCGCAAATCTGAATTTGCTTCACATGTCCTATGAACTACCTTGTTTAGTAAAACTGTGTACTAACAAAAGCCAAATACTTTTAAAATGAAGAAGTAAACAGCTTTTTGTAAGTTAATCAGTTGACTGAAAATATAGGTAACACACCTTGCAAAATTTTTACAAAAACCTGTTACTGCACGTGCAGTAGGCAGGTCTAAAAAATAATAACTAGCTGCAGGCAGCACTGAATATATTGTCGTGTACTCAGTATTGAAGTTTTTTTCCCCCAAATTTCAGTTCTCCTTCTCAAAAAAAAATCACACTTTTCACACATGACACTTATCACAGGTATTCACAGTTATCATTTCAGTAGTTTAAGAAAGAACTGCCTGGCAAATACTGTTAAAGAGGTAAATCCAAGGACAAAACTCACTATTTCAGGCACACAGGACTTAAATCCTTGGGTGTGAACTCAAAATAGAACAAAACAACTATGTAAATGCAACACATTATTAAAATGAATGAAATAATGGAAAAGTTGTCAATACTATTTCTTCTAATTCATTGACATGATTTTCTCCAATATCTGAGAAGCATCAATGGCCAAGGATTAGTAGTTCCCTGGAAAATTTTAAGTCAAGATTTTGCTTTAAAAAAAAGTGGCAGTAAAACACCATAAATGGTTACTTGAAATCTAATCAACGCCATCAAAACCCTGAGTGTTCTCAATGGCCATCTGAAGTTTATCCCACAATTCTTCAAATGACTCATAGGGTGGCAAGTCCAGGCGATTAAAGCTGAAAGGACAGAGAGAGGCTGGTTATGACAGACAGTGAAAAAGTGACAAAGTTCCCAGGGCAAACTATTCACAGTACAGCTATTTGTGACTGAATGTTCCAACAACAGGAAAAGACCTTTTCTTCTCAGGGAGAAGGAAGGTCTAGGATTGGACTCAAGGTATGGACTCTCTTCATGACTTCTTGGTGGTAACCTCTCACCTCCACCCTGACCTCCAAATGTCTGGGTTCCTGTCATTTGAAACTTCAAGAGCAAATGTTCTAGCCCTGTGTGGAATGGCTTATCATTCATGTGATGGAGGCAACATATCATCAACAGTTCAGATGTGTCTCTCCAGTGTTCAGCAACCTAGACTTAAAGCCTTCCTGGTAAAGAAACACCTGTTCCTGAGTTAGTCTCACTGTCTCTCCATCCTCTCCCTCCCATTCCCCACCTCCTTATCTGCCACCAACACAGCATAGAGGGAACTAGACCTGTGTCTAGACTGTGAGAGGACCTGACCTTCTGTGTCTAGACTGTGAGAGGACCTTCTCTCTCTGAAGACTTGGTTCTCGAGGGTCAAAGAAACTGCTTACCAGGTATGAGCTCTTGGCAGCTTCTCAGGCGTGCCCCACTGCTCAACTGTAAATGACTGTGGTCCGTTTGAGCCTACAAGAAAAGAAGTTACTTTGGTTTCATTTAGCCTTTATAGGAGCTCCTGAACATTTCACAACTCACTTTTGCTAATGCAGCACTTAAAACACACAGATAATTCATCTAGTTTCTTTAAATTCAAAAGAAATAATACTGTCTTGGGCTCATGACTTTACTGTCCAGCTATGAAATGAGGACTCCTATCAGTTCGTCTGTGGTCACGGTATCACTCTGACCTGGGGGGCATGTCTAACGGGACTTTTGCTGTTCCCCAGCCCTGCATTTTCATATACCACCTCTATCTTAGGTACACAGAAAATGGGCATTATTTTTTAGTCCCACTGAAAATAGCTTTAATAGTTTTTTAAATTATTTTTCTCTATTGATTTATTTTTTTGCAGTAAGATTATACAATGAAAGATGTAAAGATCACCTGAAATTCCACTGTTAAATCTAAGTAAACATCCTATTATTAATCTTTTTCTGCATATACATATGTATAGAATTTTATGTGCATGGGATCATTTATACATGCTACCTTTTTCTCTTATTATGAACATTCTGAGAAACTTTTTCTTCCTTTGGAGTTTTACTCAATTATTCCTTTTGCAATTCTCAACGTCCTCCAACCTCCCAGGTCATCAATGGTAACAACCCAATGAGTCACCTTCCATACTTTTCTCTATGTCTCAGACTCATATCCAAACACATGTGTGAGAGTATAACTGTCAGAAGCAGTACTAAAAATACTATTTTCCATGTTACTGTTTTCTCAAAAAGCACTGCTGTTCACACATCACCCATCACAATTATATCTACAGTTAAAATTTAGTACTTTTGTCATTGTATCTTCCACAACATGGATTCATATATATTTTCCTGCCTCTTGATTCTCTCACCTGAACACTCCATTTGAAAAACTCCCTATTAAGTCAACCAATATAAATGTAACATGCTTCTTCTTTCTTGGGGGGCTAAGCCACACTTCATGTGGGATCCCAGTTCCACAAACAGGGCTCAAACCCGAGTGGAAGGGATCAAATCCCTGCAGTGGAAGCGTGAACTGCCAGGGAAGTCCCCGTAACATAATTTTTATTGGCTAGATAATACTGTATTGTAATATTAACATTCTGAAGCAACTTCTACTTCTTTTGTAAATCCATAAGAATTTGAATTTATAGTCTAACACTAATAACTCTGGACCTGTGTATGAGATAGTGTGTTACTTGCTTAGTCGTGTCTCACTCTTTGCAAGCCCATTGACTGTAACCAGCCAGGTCCCTCTGTCCATAGAATTTCCCAGGCAAGAATACTGGAGTGGATAGCCATTCCCTTCTCCGGAGGATCTTCCTGAACCAGAGGTCGAAGCTGGAGCTCCTGCATCATAGGCAGATTCTTTATCATCTGAGCCACCAGGGAAGACACTATGTGAAATATCTCCTCCAAATTCCAAAAAAGTGCATGCCATCAGTGGGTGAATGTAGGTCTGGGCTGCATATAAGAGGAGCTAGAGATGGAGGGGGTGCCTGCCCTGCTTTGATTTTCTCTACTAACTGGTTAAAGAGCAGGAGGAGAGAATGGAATGTAAGTCAGGGGAAACCACTGGAAAGACAAATCCAGTCAGGTGGGGAATGAACATATTGTTCAGTCTCATCCTTCTCCTTGGGAGAGAAGGGGCAGCTGCCTGACAGGTTCTGCAAACAGATGTTCAGTTAAGCTTAACAAGGAAACCACGTAGGCCAAGGAGGGGATAGAAGGGCTCCGATCTTGGCTATACCTCCTCTGAAAGAGTTGTTTTCTTGGTATCCTTAAAAGCAAGTACATGCCATTCCAATAAACAGAATATTTAACTTTGTTTATTCCATTCTTTCCCCCAAATGTATTCTACTATGATACATTCTGTATTTTGTTATACACTTATTAACACCCCGTGGAACTTTATATGCTGTCTATCTTAAACCATCATACCACGGGCAATGTTTTTTCTGTAACAGAATACAGAGTGAGAATCAAATTTAAAATTCAAGAATGGAAAGTAACTTGAATCATTTCCTGTGTTTAGTTTTCTCTTTTGCTATCTCACTGAGAGTCCCTTGGACTGCAAGGGGATCAAACCAGTAAATCCTAAAGGAAATCAACCCTGCATATTCATTGGAAGGACTTCTGCTAAAGCTGAAGTACTTTGATGCTAAAGCTCCAGTACTTTGGTCATCTAATGTGAAGAGCTGACTCACTGGAGAAGATCCTGATGCTGGGAAAGACTGAAGGCAAAAGGAGAAGAGGGCAGCAGAGGATGAGAAGGTTAGACAGCATCACTGACTCAATGGACATGAATTTGAGCAAACTCCCGGAGACAGTGAAGGACAGGGAGGCCTGGCATGCTGCAGTTCATGGGCTTGCAAAGAGCTGGACATGATTTAGCAACTGAACAACAAACAACAACAACAAAATAGAAGGTGTATACATATATTTTGACCTTTTGCAGTGTATCTAACTGTAATCATTTAAAACTATGAATTCTTTTTAACTAATTAAAAATTTGTATACATGAAAGAAGACTGAAGACTAGTCAGTCATGAAAAAGACAACTGGCATCAGCTCCATTTTTTAATGATCTATGGAAAATCCATACCATACAGTTCAGCAAATCCATTCATAGGCACACGGGATGTGCCAGTGACAAACTGAAGTAATCGTATTCTTTTTTCTGAGTCCATCATTAAAACAGCCTGCATAAAATAAAAGCAGCATTTAGGAACATCACTGGAAAAAATGTTAACAAAACTACCCTGAAAAATATGTTACCAGAGTTTAGTTAGAGCCTGAATCATCACTTATGAAATCTGCATGTTTCCTTTACTTCAAGTTATGTTTACAGTAGTTTACAAAGTCCTTGAGACTCCATTTCCAAGGCTTTATGGTAACTGTTTAGAATGGGGTTATAGCCTAACACAGTGACAAAATTTCCTCTTGGATGTGACTATGGGGCTTTTTAAAAATTGTATTTACTGGAATTATTATTTAAAAATTGCATTTACTGGCATACACATTTCTCCATCACATTCCAAGAAGCCAAATAGGAGTCCCAGAGAATACACTGCAGGTTACAAGTTCCCTTGAAGAATCCCTTCTTTTTAGTAAGGAACCAAGAGCTGATCTCAGGTAACACTGTCACTTACTACATTTTACTTATCTGCAAATAAGTATGTATGGAGGTAAATGTATATAGTACAAAATAAAAAATTTTTGTGGGGCTATATACTGGGTTGGCCAAAAAGTTCATTTGGTTTAAAAGTAAAATTTTAAAACATATTTTTCATTTTCACCAACAACTTAATTGAATAACATATTCCCTAACCAAGCAAACTTTTTGGCCAACCCAATATATTTTTTGTCTTATCTACATGTGATCCACTAGTATAGATAGATATGATTGAATCTATCAAGAAGTAACTTAAGAAAATGCAAGCCTTCTATTACCTTCCAAAACCACTGGATGACTTGATGATTTATGCTGTAGCCATTTTTGTACTTTGCGTGCTCTCTCCAGTCATTCACATCCACATCTCCCAAGCCACACATCAGAAGCTACATAAGAAGAAATGTCAAACTGTAGACAAGAAAAATCAGGGGTACAAAAGTCCTGTGTTAAGAGCAATATTTCTTACCTCTAGTTCATTTTCATCAAAAATTTTGATGAGATCCTGTGGTATCAGTTCAAAAAATCCCTAGAAGAAAGAATATATTTAAAACCCTAGTTAGTGGGGCCAATGGACAATTTCATACTTCAGTATCTGGGTGGGACTGGAGAAATCCCGTACCCACACAGATTCCTACCACTACACAGTTCATGGGCTCTTTAACTGACATTTCAATGTCAGCAAGAAAGTATACATGTCTGTTCTCCCACTGATTCCTCAAAGTGACTATTTTCAAACCACCCCATACCTTTCAAGCTTCCTTCTTCTCCGTGTCACCCTTTCTTTACAGCAGATAATTTCTATTTGAGAGAGAAAATAAAAGCAGCTCTGCCAGATGGAATTCCCCTCAACAATATATAGTACAAAATAAAAAATTTTTGTGGGGCTATATACTGGGTTGGCCAAAAAGTTCATTTGGTTTAAAAGTAAAATTTTAAAACATATTTTTCATTTTCACCAACAACTTAATTGAATAACATATTCCCTAACCAAGCAAACTTTTTGGCCAACCCAATATATTTTTTGTCTTATCTACATGTGATCCACTAGTATAGATAGATATGATTGAATCTATCAAGAAGTAACTTAAGAAAATGCAAGCCTTCTATTACCTTCCAAAACCACTGGATGACTTGATGATTTATGCTGTAGCCATTTTTGTACTTTGCGTGCTCTCTCCAGTCATTCACATCCACATCTCCCAAGCCACACATCAGAAGCTACATAAGAAGAAATGTCAAACTGTAGACAAGAAAAATCAGGGGTACAAAAGTCCTGTGTTAAGAGCAATATTTCTTACCTCTAGTTCATTTTCATCAAAAATTTTGATGAGATCCTGTGGTATCAGTTCAAAAAATCCCTAGAAGAAAGAATATATTTAAAACCCTAGTTACTGGGGCCAATGGACAATTTCATACTTCAGTATCTGGGTGGGACTGGAGAAATCCCGTACCCACACAGATTCCTACCACTACACAGTTCATGGGCTCTTTAACTGACATTTCAATGTCAGCAAGAAAGTATACATGTCTGTTCTCCCACTGATTCCTCAAAGTGACTATTTTCAAACCACCCCATACCTTTCAAGCTTCCTTCTTCTCCGTGTCACCCTTTCTTTACAGCAGATAATTTCTATTTGAGAGAGAAAATAAAAGCAGCTCTGCCAGATGGAATTCCCCTCAACACTCTGCACCCCAACTTAGCACCAACATCCATGAGGGTCTTGTCCCCATTGCTGTGGAGACAGGGGCCACTTTCTCTCTGTGCTTCACTTGTTTCCCCAAGGATGTCTTCACTAAACTTTTACTAGCACATGTTTTTTTCTTAAAGATTTTTTGGGGAATGTGGATCATTTTTCAAGTCTTTATTGAATTTGTTACAATACTGCTTCTGTTTTATGTTTTGGTTTTTTGGCCACGAGGCATGTGGGATCTTAGTTCCCTAACCAGGGATGGAACCTGCGCCACCTGCATTGGAAGGCAAAGTCTTAACCACTAGACCACCAGGGAAGTCCCTATTAACTCACTCTTGATGCATCTAAATTTGTTCAAGCCACATCTACTTTCAAAACAAAATAAGAAAGCAAACCCCTCTTTCTTTTCTTCACACCCACGTTCTGGACAGTGTTACTACACATCACCAAATCCACTTACTCCCCCTCATCTATCCCTCAACCACTGTAATCTGACCTCTTCACCAATGCTTCCCTGAAACAGTCCTGGAGAAAGTCAAAGACAACTTTGTGGCTACGTCTAATGAATACTTTCTAGTTCCCTATCTTATCTGACTTCTCTGTACTACGATAGTGTTGACAATACCTTTGTTCTCAAAACTCTGTCTGCTGTTGATGGTTTTCCTCTTATGTCTCTGCCTTTGCTGATTTTCTCTGATGTCTCCTTTCCTCCTGTCCATTCTTTAAATGTTGGTGTTCCCACATCCTCATGTGTGGCCATCCACTTGCACCATTCTTACCATTCTTTTGAATTTTCCATCTTGTTTAGTCCACAGCTCCACTACAGAAAGCAGACAGACCCCAGATCTCCATCCTTTAAGTCACCCTGAGCTAAAACTCTCCCTTCCTGAGTATCATTCATGTGCATGCACAGCTGTGTTCCCACTGTCCTGATCATTTCCCCTGGGGTGATTCCAGCACTTGCTCCACTAGCCTCTGCTGCTTGTCTCACCCTCCTCTAGCTTACTATTCATTCATACCACTTCCAGAAAGATCTGAGCAAAATATACATTGAATCTTGGTATTTTATTGTTAACAGCCTTTAATGCCAACTTCCTTCCTCACTGGACTTCAGAGAATACACCAAACAAACAGGCCCCTCATCATCAGGTTCCTCCCATCTCTCCAGATTTAGTTTCGCCTCTTGCATTCCCGTTGGCTCAGATGGTCAAGAATCTGCCTGCAATGTAGGCGACCTGGGTTGGATCCCTTGGTTGGGAAGATCCCCCGGAGAAAGGAATGGCTACCCACTCTAGTAATCTTGCCTAATGAATTCCATGGACAGAGCAGCTTGGCAGGCTACAGTCCATGGGGTTACAAAGAGTTGAACATGACTGGGCAATTAACACTTGCATCCTCTCATCCAGTACAACTGCCTGTATTTTCTCTAATGTGTGCCCAGTTTGTCTTATTACTAGATTTGACATGCGTCGCTCCCTCTGCTTGGAACTGCATTTCCTTCTTCTCTGTGGCTGGCCAATCCCTCTACCCCTCCGATGCCCCTGCCCCCACCTCCTCCTGCTTTGGTTTCGACCTCTCTTCTCTGCTCACCTAGTACTGTGAGCTCCCCTGGTCCATTTCACCCTCAGATTCTCTGCTCCTTGACGACAGGACCTACATCCTTTTGCCTTGCACAGCACCAGACACATGGTCAGTGCTCAGTATCGAATAAATGAAGAAGTGTGTGATAAATATTTAACAGAAGACTTTTAATTAGCTTAGGAAATGAGTGCCTTGGCAACAGCTTAAATGTCCATCAATTTGGAACTTTAAGTGACTTATGAATTTACATTATGAATAAAATACAGCTACAAAGAAAGGTCACTGTATATCTTGATATGTAAAACACCTCCAATAAGTATTTGACAAGAGAAGGAAGGGAGTCACAAACCAACATGTATGGCATGATGCCATTTAGGAAAAGACATAAACGGCATGTTCCAGGGGTTCCCAGAGGCTTCCCTAGTGGCCCAGATAGTAAAGAATGTGCCGGCGAAGCAAGAGACCTGGGTTCAATCCTTGGGTTGGGAAGATCCCCTGGAGAAGGGAATGGTTACCCACTCCAGTATTCCTGCAAGAGAATTCCATAGACAGAGGAGCCTGGCAGGCTACAGTTCATGGAGTTGAGAAGAGTTGGACACGATGAGTGATTAACACTTTCACTTTTCAGGGGTTCCCAACCCCTGGGGCATGAATAAGTGCTGGTCTGGGGAACTGGGCCACACAGCAGGAGGTGGGGGTGGGCGAGCCAGTGAAGCTTCATCTGCTACTCTCCATGACTTGCATTACTGCTGAATTATCCCTCCACCTGACCCCGAGATCCACAGGAAAATTGTGTTCTGTGAAACTGGTCCCTGGGGCCAAAAAGTCTGTGGCCTGCTGATATATTCCACATCCCTCTAGGACTCTTGTCCCTTTGTTCACCTATGTTTACTAAGGTGAGGGGAGGGGACTATAAAAGGTGAGGGGGGATCCATGTTATGGAGGACTGTTTATTGCATAGACTTCTTGAATGACTGCTTTTTAACTCAACATCTATTCATTTAATACTCTATCAGTATGAAAACAAGAACTTCCCTGCTAGTTCAGCTGGTAAAGAATTCACCTGCAATGCAGGAGACCCCGGTTCAATTTCTAGACCAGGAAGATCCCCTGGAGAAGGGACAGGCTACCCACTCCAGTATTCTTGGGCTGCCCTGGTGGCTCAGCTGGTAGAGTCCGCCTGCAATGTGGGAGACCTGGGTTTGATCCCTGGGTTGGAAAGATCCCCTGGAGAAGGGAATGGCTACCCACTCCAGTATTCTGGCATGGAGAATTCCATGGAGTGTATAGTACATGGGATTGCAAAGAGTCGGACATGACTGAGTGACTTTCACTTCACTTCAGTATGAAAACATGGGCTTCCCTGGTGGTTCAGACAGTAAAGAATCTGCCTACAATGCAGGAGACCTGGGTTCCATCCCTGGGTGGGGAAGATCCCCTGGAGAAGGAAATGGCAACCCACTCCAATATTCTTGCCTGGAGAATTCCACTGACAGAGGAGCCTGGTGGGCTACAGTTCATGGAGTTGCAGAGTTGGACACGACTGAGCGAGTAACACTTTACTTCAGTATGAAAACATAATTTTAAATGGCTTTAAAAAGCAAATCATACACTACTTTTTTCTCTGATACAATAAGGTCCCCTTTTTCTCTGATATGATATGGACCGTGCTTTGAAACTACAGAAGAGGAAACAAAAGAAAATGAATACCTCTTTAAAAGCAGCCATTTGCTTCTGGATTCGGTTTACAAATCGCCATTGTATTACAAGACTAGAAGAAATAAAACATTTTATCTTTTTCACAGGGAATAAGAAAAGATGTTAAGGTACAGGTATTCTGGTTAGAAACAAAAAATAAAGACTAGCTAAGCCCAAGGCAAGAACTGAATGAGTGAGTAAAAGTATAGAATTTTTATAGAAAACAATATTGAGACTCTGACTCTAGAGAAAGAAAAAGAAGACACAAAGAATCTTCACAGAAAGTACAAAATTATTTCCAATAAAGTATTTACTAAAAATAGTAAAGTATAACAAAATACTTACTAAATATATTCCTTTTTGTTCTTATTGGTGACAACTATTTCTGATCCACCATTTTTCAACTCATGTTGATGTGTCTGAAATTAAGCATGATACCTTGATACGTTATTTTAGTGAAAAAAATAAAGTATACATATTACAGTTACACAAGAAGCCTGGTGTTTTAAATTTAATCCACTCAAAAGCTAAGGAAACTTGAAATATTAGTTTTACTAATATACATATGAAATGAGTCAAAAGTCAAAGAAGCAGAAATTCTTTCTGAGAGACAGCTTTTGTTACAAGAAAATAAATTTTAAAATAGAATGCAGAAATGTGTTGAGTACATGCATTATTTAAGGTCTAAATTTATAAAATTTTGCTTAAGTTATTAAACTTAAGTTCTAAAGCTTCACAATTTATGTACCATTTAAATAAATCAAAATTTACAAACCTGTCCAAAAAGTTCTTCATCTATGACAAATCTGAGGTCCAATTCTGTTGGATCATTTTCAAGAATCCATCTTAATGAATTGTAATACTCACTATCCTAGATGGGATAAATTGCATATGTAAAATTTGTATACAGAAAGAAGATACATGAATCTGCAAAAAAAGTAGCCGAAGTCTGAATAACTGGACAAAAGATGATAAGGTCAGATGGATCTCTTTTACACACACACACACACACACACACAAACACACACAATACAAAAAGAAATGAATAGTAAGTACATGAGTATAAATACAAATATTGGGACTTCCCTGGCAGTCCAGTGGTTAAGATGCCATACCTCCACTGCAGGTGGGTGTGAGTTCCATCCCTGGTTGGGGAACTAAGATCCAGCAGGCCACAGGGTGTGGCCAAAAAAAAAAAAAAAACAAGAATGGGACTTGGTACCATGGAAGAAGTCTTGGAATCTATGTCTTCTACATGTTATATGATGATATTCAGCATGGGTTACAAGGCTATAGTCAAGGATTTAATTCTTGGGTTTCTGTTTCTCTGTAGTAGCCTAATTTCAAAACTTTGCTTTGGACTGCCAGTTTGAAAACATGTCATTCATCACAAATGATCACAATTCAAATACTGACACAAGAGACATATAAAATTATTTTATATAGCATGCTGAAATATTTAGGGAGAAATTTACTCATACCTGAAACTTTCTTTGAAATGCATCAAAGAAATAAGATGAATTGATGAATAGGGAGTAGACATGTGGATAGGTATGTCATGAAATAAGTATGGATAAAAAGCCAATTGTGGAATCTGGGTGGTGGATATATACATATCCACTGTAAAACTTTTTCAACTCTATTATATGTTAGTAAATTTTCAAAATAAAATGTTGGGAGAAATGTTCATTTATATTTGGAACATCTGTTGACTTCATCATTAAAAAGTCTTTAAAATATTCAGTTGCCTGTTAAATTATAGTTTATATGATAAGTGAAAAAGACATACCACTGATTCCATATCATGAAGTGTTATTGGCTTGTGCAGCATCATCTTGTAAAATGGGCGGATGAAAAAACCTTGCAAAAAATCAAATATATTTAAAATGATTACCAAGCCAAAAAAAATCAGATAATTACATACCAAAAAGTTTTATGCTTAATACTAACCATCTGAGTAAAGTAAATCAGAAAAACAAATATTGTATATTAATGCATATAAACGTAATCTATAAAAATGGTACTGATGAACCTATTTGCAAGGCAGGAATAGAGACACAGATATAGAGAACAGACTTGTAGACATAGTCGGGGAAGGAGGGTGGGATGAATTGAGAGAGTAGCATTAAAACATATACACTACCCAGGGGGTGGTACTAAGATGGCAGAGGAATAGGATGGGGAGACCACTTTCTCCCCCACAAATTCATCGAAAGATCTTTGAACGCTAAGCAAATACCACAAAACAATTTCTGAACGCTGGCAGAGGACACCAGGCACCCAGAAAGGCAGCCCATTGTCTTTGAAAGGAAGTAGGACAAAAGATAAAAAAAAGAGACAAAAGAGTTAGGGACGGAGACCCGTCTCGGGGAGAGAGTCATAAAAGAGGAGACGTTTCCAAACACCAGGAAACCCTCTCATCTGTGGGGAGTTTTGGAATCTCAAAGGGCAACATAACTGGAAGGAAAAAATAAATAAATAAAACCCACAGATTACGCGCCTAACTGCAACTCCCAGTGGAGAAGTAGCCCAGATGCTCACCTCTGCCACCAGCAAGTGGGGGCTGAACAAGGAGGCGCGGGTTGCATTGCTTAGGGTAAGGATTGAGCCTGAAGGCCCTTAGGGCAATCTGAAGGAGCTAACATGAGATAGCAACCCAAACTGTGGGATAGCCAGAGAGAGGGGAAAAAAAAAAAGAGAGTACTTTCCTGCGAAAAGCTCTAACCTAAGGCATTGCCGTGTCTGCTCACAGAACATAGGACTGAGCGAATAACAGAGGAGAGCTAGCCAACAGTGGACCGGCCCATGCCCCGCCGGAGGCAGAGAGGCAGGTGGGCGACAGCCAGAGCCGGGAGGTAAGGGGAAAACTTGGCCCCAGAGACGGCATCCTCTACCAAACCGCAAGCAGGCTCCCAGTTGCTAACCAAGTCTTCCTGGGATCCAGGATGGTTGACATCCACCAGGAGGGTGGCAGCCAGAGATCGGCTCCCCAGAGGAGACACACGGCACACCCGAGACAGCGCTCCCGGAAACTGGCGGCTGGGACAGGGAGGCGATAAGACGCGCCGCCCACCTGCGGAGTGTGCGCTCGCCAAGAACCTGGTCACCTGAGCGGCTCGGACCTGGGAAGTGCAGGAAACGCAGGGCGCGCCTTAGACAGTTCCCCTCCAGGGCAACGTGGAGCCTGAGCAGTGTAGACGGGGAAAGCAAACATGCGGTGACGGGGGCAAACCCAGTGTGGCCCAGACACTGCGCGCACTCCCCACACACGCCAGTGATATTTGATGGCAGTGTTCCTCCCTCCCCGCTGCACAACTGAACAAGTGAGCCTAAATAAATGACCATTTTCACCCCCTTGTGTCAGGGCAGAAGTTAGATACTGAAGAGACTTGCAAACAGAGGAAGCCAAAACAAACAAACAAGAGGGAACCGCTTTGGAAGTGACAGGTGCAACAGATTAAAACCCTGTAGTTGGCACTGACTACATTGGAAGGGGCCTATAGACCCTGAGAAGTGTAAGCTGTAACAAGGAACTATCTGAAACTGAACTGACCCCACACTGCCCTCAACAGCTCCAGAGAAATTCCTAGATATATTTTACTATTATAATTTTTAAATTAAAAATTGTTTTTACTTTTAAGTTCTTTATTACTCCTTTAATTTTCATTTTTAAAATCTGCTATTAACTTGCAAAAAAAAGACCCTATTTTTAAAGCAAATTTCATATATGTATATTAGTATAACTTTTGCAATTTTGTTTTTTTAATTTTGTAATTTTGAGAGTCTAACCTCTACTCTGGATTTTTAATCTTTACTTTTTGGTATTTGTTATCAATTCCAATTTCCTTGGAAGGAAAGTTATGACCAACCTAGATAGCATATTAAAAAGCAGAGACATTACTTTGTCAACAAAAGCCTGTCTAGTCAAGGCTATGGTTTTTCCAGTGGTCATGTATGGATGTGAGAATTGGACTGTGAAGAAAGTTGAGCGCCAAAAAATTGATGCTTTTGAACTGTGGTGTTTGAGAAGACTCTTGAGAGTCCCTTGGACTGCAAGGAGATCCAACCAGTCCATCCTAAAGGAGATCAGTCCTGGGTGTTCATTGGAAGGACTGACGCTGAAGCTGAAACTCCAATACTTTGGCCACCTCACGTGAAGAGTTGACTCACTGGAAAAGACCCTGATGCTGGGAGGGATTGGGGGCAGGAGGAGAAGGGGACGACAGAGGATGAGATAGCTGGATGGCATCACCAACTTGATGGACATGAGTTTGAGTAATCTCCGGAGTTGGTGATGGACAGGGAGGCCTGGCGTGCTGTGATTCATGGGGTCGCAAAGAGTTGGACACGACTGAGTGACTGAACTGAACTGAACTGAATCATTTCTGTATCTTTAAGAATCCAATATTCAGTACCCATTTTTACTCAGGAGTGTGATTACTGGCTTGATTGCTCTCTCCCCTTCTGACTCTCCTTTTTCTCCCCCAGGTCACCTCTATCTCTTCCCTCCCACTTCTCTTCTCTGCTTAACTCTGTGAATCTCTTTGGGTGTTCCGAGCTGTGGAGAACACTTAGGGAACTGATCACAGGTTAGATTGGTCTCTCTCCTTTTGACCCCCCTCTCCTCTCCTCCTGGTCACCTCTATCTCCCTCCTCCCTCTTCTCTTCTCTATGGAAGTCCGTGAACTTCTCTGAGTGTTCCAGACTGTGGAGGGCAAATAGGGAATTGATCACTGGGTAGACTGCTCTCTCCCCTTTCGACTCCCCCTCTTCTCCTCCTGGTCACCTCTATCTCCTTCCTCCCTCTTCTCTTCTCCATGTAACTCTGTGAACCTCTCTGAGTGTCCCCCACTGTGGAGAATCTTTTCACCATTAACCTAGCTGTTTTATCATCGGTGCTGTATGGATGGAGACGTCTTGAGGCTAATGTAAGAATAAGACTGAAAGCCAGAGGCAGGAGGCTTAANCGGCTGATTCACATTGATGTATTGTGGAAACCAACACAACATGTAAAGCAATTATCCTCCAATTAAAAAAAATACTAACCATCCAACAGTTTGCCATGATACACTGCCATCCCAGCTACCCGACCAATAAACTTGAAGTAAGAGAGGTGATCTTCATTACACAGTCCAGAGTTGGGATTTATCTGTAGGGTATAATTATCCCTGTAAAGATAATCACATATAAATGCTCCTTTCCATATTTCATATAAAAATTTTAATATGACAAGTAATTGTAAATCGTCTCCCCCTTTTTACAGTTGTTCAACTCTATTACAACCATATTAGACCACTGGATTTAATGGTTTTAAAAATAGTCATTTTGTTCAAAAGGTGGAAACAATCCAAATGTTTTTGAAAGCTAAATGGATAAACAAATGTGGTACAGACACATATGGGATATCACACAGCCTTCAAAAGGAAGGAAATTCTACCACATACTGCTACATGGATAAACCTTGAGAACACTATGCTAATGAAGTTAAGCCAGTTATAAAAGGTCAAATACAGTATGATTCTACTTATACAAGGTACTGAGAACAGTCCAGTTTATAGAGACAGAAAGTAGAACGGTTAACGCCAGGGAATGGGGGAGATCATGTTTAAAGGATACAGAGTTTCAGTGTGGGATGATGAAAAAGTTCTGGAGGTAGATGGTGGTGATGGTTGCACAACAACGAATGCATTTAACATGATAAGAATGGTAAATTTTATATTATATATATTTCACTATAACTTTTAAAAGTTATTTCTGAAACAACATTAGTTACCCTCTCCCCTTTTCTGGCGCATTGTGTCTTACATTATTTCCCTCCCATCACGTCACTCTGTTATTTTCAAAACAGTGATTTTTTTTTTTTTTCTGTACACAGTCATTGTAAAGGTACTTACGTAGCAGAATATTCAAACAGCCCGTAATAAGGGTTAAACATCTCCTTCGAAATCAGAAAGAACCATTCTCTGGCAACTCCTCCATAATCTAGTCCCTTTTCACCATCAAACTCAATCCACAGTCTAGCCTTGAGGAAGTCTGCTCTCTTGACCCCCATAATCCTCCTGTAAGAGTCCTCAAGAACAGTTGCACGGCGAAGTTTCATTTCAAATTTGTTTGGAATGTCATTCTGAAAATCCAGAGAAGAGAGACTGTTCAAATCAGTTCAACACACGTTTCTCTCATGAACATTATAAAATTCATTCTATTCTACTCCTGTGCCCAAGATCCTTTTTCAGGGATAACAGGCCTAGGTATATTGTCTTATATTCCTTCCACAGTATTAAAGAACTCATGCATTTTCTCTGGTCACGTAATAACAAAGACTTCTCATTTTCACATCTGAAGAAGCAGCTACTGATAGTGACAGTAACACTCACACGAAGGCATTTCATGAGCAGTCATTTCCACTTTAAGATCCAAGAAAGACATTCTCTGACTGACGGTCAGTCAAGTCACTGCCTGCTATCAATACTTGTCTGCCTGTCAGCTTAGGGTTCTCCCCTGGCCTCCATATTTCCTCTCTGGAGCGGTTTACTTCACTCATTAACAGGTGCTAACTTTTACAGACTGTGCCAGCACTGTTCCCAGAATTTTAATGGGTTAACTCATTTACTCCTCATAACAACATTATGAAGAACCTACTATTGTCTTCATTTATGGATGAAGAAACTAAAGATACAAGTTAAGAAAGTCTTAGCTTCTGAGCCTCTGTTCTTAATGAATGAGCCACATTGCCTCACTTATCTTTTGTACACAATTTGCTTATATGACAAATGTATATAACTATGCTTTTAGGCAGACCTTACTGTAAATTATATAGAAATATATCTGAATATTTTATTTTTGAGTACTCTGTGTGCAATGTTCCAGTGGAAACCACGAAAAGAAAACATGCCATCAACATTCTGTAGAATCAAGAAAAGGAAAGAGGGCTAACTCTAAAGCAGTTTCACTCACAAAATACTTAGGAAAAGTGGAAAGCCCTTAGAAACATAATGATATAAGCAGTTTAGATAAGCAATATAAGTATAATGTAAGTTTTGTGGAGCAACTAAGCCCATGTGCCACAGCTGCTGAGGCTGAGGGCTGCAACTGAAGTAAGTATCCTTCCTCTCTGTGTCAGCAGTAAAGGAAGTAAACCAGTTTCCTCTGCTGCTTATGCAATTTAAAAAACTGGTAAGACTGGAGGAAAGCAATTTTATAATTTTAGACAGTGGGCAAACTACTAGTGCAGGTAAGTGACTCAACAAGCACTGACTCAAGGCCCACTCTGGGCCAGGTCCATGCTAGGTAGGTACTGCAAAGGGGCCAGAGATGGGAGGAAAAGGGAATGAAAACATGGCATAAGGTGTGGTCACTTCTTCAGGGAGTTTACAATCTGGTGTGTGTGTGAGAAACAAATGTAAATGTTACTAATTCTGAGATTTAAAAGAGTAGAAAAATTGCTAACAACAGAAACAGAAGCAAAGTTTTGTAAGCAAAAATAAAACTGAGCTATTAATTACAAGTGAGACAACCAAGGAGGCTTCGAGAGAACGTCCTATCTGGGGTGGGAAGGGAGAGAAGGACTGAGGAACAGCAAGCAGGGAGAAGAGTCCCAGCCGTCTGAGAGCTGGATGGTACAGAAGGGGAAGGGGAAGAAGAGGAGGAGTCACAGGATCAGGCTTCTTGCTATGTTCTCAGGAGCTGACGCCATCAGATCTAAAAGGTATTTCAGTGGAGCTTTCCCAATGGCTCAGCGGGTAAAGACTCTGCCTGCAATGCAGGAGACATAGGACACTGGGGCTCGATCCCTGGGTCAGGATGATCCCCTGGAGGAGGAAATAGCAACCAACTCCAGTATTCTTGCCTGGAAAATCCCATGGACAGAGGAGCCTGGAAGGCTACAGTCCATGGGGTTGCAAAGAGTCGGAAACGACTAAGCAGCTAAGCACACACGAGGGGAGACAAAAGACACACCGGTCAGCGAAAGACCCCTGAAACAGCCTGAGTGACAAAAAATGAATGCGCCCTCTGAGTGAGCGACAGCTACAGAAGGGAGACCATAGGAGCAATTTCCACATCTGAGCTGAGTGGTGGATCATGCATGGGTTCTGGAGTCAGGTGACTCTGTGTTCAAGTTCTGGCTTCAGCTTGCACATCTTTCCTAATGCTTCATTACCTCATCTATAAAATAGGGACGATAAAAGTATTTACCCTTAGGGAGCTGTTTTAGGAATAACTGGGACAACGCATTGCTTGTGTTGACACAGTGCCTGGCACACAGTGATCTCAATAATGATTAGCCACCCTTAATCCAAACTAATGACATATTAGGGATGAGGTGGAGGGAAAGGATAAAGGCAGCTCAAGGCTTTGGAGCACTGCTTCACACATTTTTATCTCCACCTTGATGTTCTGCTCTTCTGCCGTGATGCAATGTGTCCAGACAGGAGTCTTATTTCTTAAATCCTGCTTGGGACATTTTGTTAAACTGAGGATTCAGATTCTCAGCCTCTTCCTCAAGCTCTTCTTCTGGAACAGCTTCATGTCTCTTAATCTTTTCTTTCATAATTTCATCTTCTTATATACCTTTCTTGCATTCTGAGTAACTTCTTCCCTTAATCCCCAATCTGGTATGTCATGTGAGTCAGAAGCATGGACTCTGGCACAGCACCACTTGGTTTGTACCTGGCTTTGCTGTTAATAACCATGGAACTTGATCACACTGCCTAGTTCCTCTGAGCCTCAGCTTCCTCAACTCTAGGATGTGATAATAATAGTCCTTTCATTATAGAGTTATTGCAGACATTACACAGGGATCATACACGTAACTTAAGAAAAATGCCAATATGTGGTCAGAACTCAATAAAAATTACCACTTTCATTATGGTTTTGTATTCTGTGACCTGCTGCTTAGAGAATATCAACCATTAGACACTGTAACGTGTTTGTAAGTGTTCAGATTGGCAAATGGAGAAGCTAATACTTCTATTCCACCAGTGTCTTGTCATTAAGTGAAAATATTTACTGTATAAGTAATTCAAAACAGACTTAGAATCCCAAAGAATTTTAAGAAGTAGAAAACAAATTTCCAGAGCAATTTTAAAACAAGGTTATTACTGACGATGAGTTTAAAACACTGAAGATATTTTGAGATTTTATTAAGGCATATTTGCACTAAATAAGTACTGTATTTCATTTTTGTCCTGTTTTGGATGAGAAAAATTTGTGGCAGCATAAGCCATCTTGAATCTTTGGAAAACCAGGCTTCCAGCTTGGAAGGCAAGGAAGTGTAACCCAATGTAGCCACCTAGTGGCAGTATTCCTAAACTGCAGGGCAAGGGGAGACGCATGAGCAAATCAGAAAGGCGTTAAAAAACGGGTCAGCCCTCACAGATACAGAGAGCAGGGCGTCCGTGGGGGCTTGGTGATAAAGATTCCACCTGCCAACGGCGGAGACATGGGTTTGATCCCTGGTCCTGGGAGATCCCACATGCCACGGGCAACTGACCCCGTGCGCGGCAACTACTGAACCTGTGCTCTAGAGCCCAGGAACCGCAGCTACTGAGGCCTTGAGCTGAAACTACTGAGGCCCCCGTGCCCTAGAGCCCGAGTGCGCCACAAGAGAAGCCACCATGATGAGAAGCCCGCGCACTGCCGTGAAGAGAAAGAAGCCCCTGCTCGCCACAGCTAGAGGAAAGCCCACACAACAACGAAGACCCAGCACAGCCAAAAATAAATAAATAAATTATACACACACACACACACACACACACACACACACACATATACACAGAGAGAGAGAGAGAGAGAGGAACAAACTAGTGATTATGGGTGTGGGAGGGACAATACGGAGGGGGGGTTACTATGGAATTATATAAAACCATGTGTATGAAACCTTTGAAAACTGTAAAGCATTATGGAACTTGAAGACTCTTTCAATTTAAAAAAGTTAATTACTTAAAAAAACAGTCATAACCAATAGCAATGAAATAGATGGGCAGATTTAGTGCCAAACACATTGAATTTGTGGTGATGGAAAAAGTGTTCTGAATATATCTGATAAGCAAAAGGAGATAAACAACAAGAGGACTGCTCCAATCACAGCCGTACATTCAAATTATGCAGAGATACATTATACCTGAAGCTGTAAAGAATGAGTGACTAACACTGGAAAACAGCAGTCCAAGCAGAAGCAGAATACAGAGTCCTCCTACACAAGCAGTCTAGGCCACAGGATAATCTCCTGACTTATTCTTGCTCAGTTTCTACAAAACCCAAACCCCACAAACCCAGGAGGAACTCTAGTTAGATTTCTTCAAAAGCAAATTTTTAAAACTATTTCTCTATTGCAAGGCATATTGAAACATACAGACATAAAATAACTAGACTGTAATCATATATTACAGCTACTAAAAAAATAAGCATCCTTTCCCTAAAAGAAGCTATTCAAAATTGTTCATATATAATAAACTCTCTATTACTTTTTCAAATGTACTTCTCACGCTTTCAGTCCATATGACAAACATTCCTAAGAACTCATTATAATAAGTATCACTAACCTGCTTCTTCAACTTTCTTCGGAAGAACTCATACTTTCTTTTGTAATCCCTGGAGTAGGGCACTGCCTTGAGTTAAAAATTTTGGAAAAATAAAGAAGGTTTAAGTTATTTTATTCTGGAACAATTTAAAAAACTCCCCTCTGGGTATTTTATGAACATAAGTTAAAGGCATTAAAAGAGAATATTTGGAAAGAAAAGTTTAATTCAAAGAAAAAGAAATATAAAACTTAAAAAATTTTAATTTCTCTGTTTAAGATAAAATTGTATCCAGCAATTCTTATGGCTGCAATTTTCATCATGCAGTATTCTTGAAATGCAATAGGCCAGAAACAGGAAATGTCTTCCAAGTAAAGAAATATTAGAAATGAAAATTTCCATTTCTAAAGAGGCTTTCAAAGTGATTTCTCCATTAAAGGAACAATTTGAAAAATGTACTTTTTCCTTGAACTCTGAGGAGTTGCCTTTTTTATCCATTAAAAGACTAAACATGGAGTCACAAGAGTAATCTGAAAGAATAGTATCTTCAATTTTACTTATTTTTGTGAATAAGAAAACAATTATAATCTGAAAAAGAAGCTATATAAAAGAGGAAAATTATTTTCCTATCATTAATCTGACTCAAGAATAGTATAAACATCATACATGGTAATACTTGTACTTTAAATATGAATGTCTTATATACCAGTACTTATAATGATTTCAACCAAAAAGTTCAAGACATGACCCTGATTTGACAAGGCACTGTTGGCTTTCTCATCAGATACACTCTTGGTTCCTCTCTGATTTACTGAGGATTCCAGCATTCTTTTTTCAGATTGTTTCAAGTACCAGTCTGAGCACAGCAGCCTCGCTGAGTTAGCTTCACTGAGTTAACTTTCTGGCTCACTGGCATCCCAAGGTTGTTGTGTAGAGTAGAGGTAACTACTTTAAATGCCCTTTTCAAATAACTGAGACCAGGTGTATGGGTGGTGGGGAGAGGAGAGATTTGCAAATGTGCTTTCCTCTCAACACCTTTATTTAGTGCTATACCCTTCATCATCTGTCCTTGAAGAGACAAGTAAGAGGACAACCCCATCAGAGGAGGCTGATACAAAGAGACTTACTGGTCCAGTTATTGCTACATGCTGCAAACGAGGGTCTTCCCATTGTGTTTTTTTACTATCTGAAGAAAGAGAGAAAAAAAAGAGGTTCTTTATTCTCATGCACAAAATTTGATATTACAAAAGATAATGTAATGGGAAAAAAATCACATTGCACATACTGTGATTTATGTAAAAGATTCTTCCATCAGTGTGAGTTCTTTCTTCCCATCCTGGCTATAATGAAGAACATATTTCAATTATATTAGGAACAGGTTTTCAGTGTATGGGCAGAAAAATGGTTTTGGTTATATGGTTGATTTAATTTGTATATTCCATTCTTAGTAGAAGACATCAACACTTCAACAATAATATTAATTATAGTTGTGAAAGAACTACTGCATTTCGAAATACAAATGCTTGAGACAGTCAAGTTAGATGGGTAATAGTTCTCTAAACTTACAGGTAAAGGCCCCAGGTCACTGGAAGAATCAAGTGATGTCTTTCCTCTCAGATGAGCTGGAATTTTCAGTCTTGGATCTTCCTTTTTTGGTAGAGTAAATAAAGAAAACAATATATATACACAAACTTTAAAATCATGAAAGTCAATCTGTTACTATGTTTTCTAATATCAATGGATTCACTTTCATTTGCTTACTCAATGAAATAATATGTTCTCATCTACAATCTCTCATTCATGGGCTACAATATTCAGTTCTAAGGGACCCTGGCAATCCAGTGGTTAAGACTCCATGCTTCCACTGCAGGGGGCATGGGTTTGATTCCTGACTGGGAAACTAGAATTCTACATACCTTGTGGCATGGGCAAAAAAAAAAAAAAAAATTTAATTTAAAAATTAAAAAAAATTCAATTAGATCTTGAGGAGGATCCGTATTAACTTACTTGCTCTTTCACAAAAACCATTTAGAGTATTTTGCCCACGCTTTAAGGATTATGTCACTACACAGGGCTCTTCTCTGAATAAAAACTGGTGTAACAGTGGACATAAAGCTGGAGCACGTGTTATTTCTGAGGCCTTGGACATGCTTTTTGGTACCTAGACAGGTGCTAAGGTGATAATTTATTAGATGTTTATTAGATAATTTATTAATTTTAAGAGATAAGAAGGTAAGCTCAAGAAGGTTATTAAAGGCAACTCAAATTATTGAAAGAAAGAACAAAATTTAATTTATTTGCATTTATTTATATATTATCATTTCAATATTGTTTCATTAAATAATGTATTAAATAATTTTAATTTAGGCATATTGATAACTTTTAAACAATTTATTAATAAAAATCTCTGCATTTACTGATAATTTTCAGTAGTTTTTCTATTAGTGGTGAACTAACTGCACAACAACTTTAAACCTTATCTTAAAATAAAAACACTTAGTCTACTTAGCTCATAAGGCTTTCTGGATATTATGAGGTATGGATTCAAAAGTACTTTGGAACTAGAGGCCTCATATAAAGGGAAATGATTATGACTAAATATCTTCCTGGGAACTTATGGCTAGGGAGCTAAAAACTGCAAATACAAGAAACACAAGACTTCTCTGGTAGTTAGGACTCCACACTTCCACTGAAGAGTGGAATGAGTTCAATCTCTGTTTGGGGAACTAAGATCCCACAAGCCATGTGGCATGGCCAAAAACAAAACAAAAGCCCACTGCAAACAGGAAATAAATGTATCTCCTTAACAATCCCCCCCAATATTAAAAATAGGTATAAATATACTGAATAGAAATAATGCTATTAAGAATTCAACATACGTTTAAATAAGGACTAGGAATGGATTGGGTAGCCATTCCCAATCCTGGAAGATCTTCTGGACCCAGATATCAAACCTGGGTCTCTACTGCACTGCAAGCAGATTCTTAACCATCCAAACCACCAGGGAAGCCCATATTAATGTATACTTATAAAGATTATCAAGAGCTACATGTAAGTGATTGTTACTGTTATTACAAATTTAAACTGGAAACCACTGAAGTTACCCAGGTGGTGGTTTTGGTGTTGTGGTCAATGAAGAAAGGCCTCCCGTTTGGTGCGTGCCGGACCTCCCAGCCTTTGGGAAGGAATCCTTGCTCCATTTCAGATGGTTGGGTCACCTGTTGTGCTGCATCACTCGCGGGGGCCTGTGGCTGAGGGCCTGCAGAAGAACCCTGGCTTGACAGCAGCTGACCGGTCTCCACTGTGGCCTAGCACATTAATTCAATTATGTAGTAGTGTTTACAGAGAACACACAAATAGCTGTGGTTAAAAAGGTAACTGAATCTGCAAACAGCGCACACACTTATAAACAGGCCTAAAGACTGGAGGCTCATTTCTCCAATAAAGTGCTTTGTCAAAGTTTGTTTTTAAAACAATTTAAAATTTTTCAGCTAATTCTTGAGCAGTAAGATGCGGTTAACAGTCTGTTAACCCTAGTTGCAAGAAAGCCACAATGACAACTAGAGAAGGTTGTTTTTGCTCACCCCAAAGGTTCACATTGAGTGGGAATTTCCCACACACAAAAATGGGTTCAAATGGTGGGTAGACAAAATAAATGGTAAATAGCCACTACAGACCTGGATAACTGAAATGTAATATATTCCTGTGATAAAATATAAGGCAGCTAAAAAATATATACTAGATCTATATATAAACCAACATGATAGGATTTTAAAACAATAGTGAGCAAAAAATATTTAGAATTACATAATATCTTTATTAAATTTGACACATGGGCATAAATAATATCTTGCAGTAAGTGATTGTTACTGTTATTACAAATTTAAACTGGAAACCACTGAAGTTACCCAGGTGGTGGTTTTGGTGTTGTGGTCAATGAAGAAAGGCCTCCCGTTTGGTGCGTGCCGGACCTCCCAGCCTTTGGGAAGGAATCCTTGCTCCATTTCAGATGGTTGGGTCACCTGTTGTGCTGCATCACTCGCGGGGGCCTGTGGCTGAGGGCCTGCAGAAGAACCCTGGCTTGACAGCAGCTGACCGGTCTCCACTGTGGCCTAGCACATTAATTCAATTATGTAGTAGTGTTTACAGAGAACACACAAATAGCTGTGGTTAAAAAGGTAACTGAATCTGCAAACAGCGCACACACTTATAAACAGGCCTAAAGACTGGAGGCTCATTTCTCCAATAAAGTGCTTTGTCAAAGTTTGTTTTTAAAACAATTTAAAATTTTTCAGCTAATTCTTGAGCAGTAAGATGCGGTTAACAGTCTGTTAACCCTAGTTGCAAGAAAGCCACAATGACAACTAGAGAAGGTTGTTTTTGCTCACCCCAAAGGTTCACATTGAGTGGGAATTTCCCACACACAAAAATGGGTTCAAATGGTGGGTAGACAAAATAAATGGTAAATAACCACTACAGACCTGGATAAGTGAAATGTAATATATTCCTGTGATAAAATATAAGGCAGCTAAAAAATATATACTAGATCTATATATAAACCAACATGATAGGATTTTAAAACAATAGTGAGCAAAAAATATTTAGAATTACATAATATCTTTATTAAATTTGACACATGGGCATAAATAATATCTTGCATTGCTTAGCTCTCTACTAAGTACATAAAATAGCAATGGCACCCCACTCCAGTACTCTTGCCTGGAGAATCCCAGGGACGGGGGAGCCTGGTAGGCTGCTGTCGATGGGGTCGCATAGAGTTGGACATGACTGAAGTGACTTAGCAGCAAGTACATAAAATAGGCAGGAAGAATTCCCAACAAGCTCACAGTGATAGTTCCCTCTGAGTAGTGGGGCCAAGTGCTTGGTTAAAAGATAAAATCTTTTCTCTGTAAGATTTTATTTAAAAAAGAAAATCTAGAACCAATACGGTGAGCTGTTAATGGTGGTAAATTCAGGACGTTAAGAAAATGGATACTTGCTATGTTATTCCCTGTACTTCTCAGTTTTAAAAAATTTCTCAAGAGAAATGGTGATATTTTCCTAAATGCTTACAAAGAAATATTATTAATACAAAAGGCAAACTGTTGCCAAGGACAGAGTGTTATTATGACAAAGTTCTTTGATAGATGCTAATCACCAAGATTATTTTTTAGCAAAATAATGATCTTAACCATTCAAATTACAAAATTACCCAGTGGACCAGATCATTTACTTTGTCCTCCTAGTCCCAAATGGACTTGTTTTACCTAATAACCAGTAATGACTCATGTGTATTAGAGATCTGCAAGAAATTACAGATAGCACCAATATCAGAAAATAATTAGAAGCATCCAGCACCTACTACTCACTGATGTATTATAATAGCTCCCATAGAAATATGATGGTTTAAATTACCTAAGAAAACACCATAATGAACAGACTGCAGGGTACCTGTACAGTGGGCTTTATCCAGGTAGTAGTTCTGCAATTGTGATCCACATAGTACGATCTTCCTCTTTCATCTTGTTTTTCTTCCCAACCTGGTGGTAATCCAGATGAAGTAGGCAAAAGCTACAGTGAAGAATAACAGAATTAAGTATTAATAAGAAAGAATCCTTCTTATTTATTGTATTTTATCATTACTATTTTTAAAAATATTTATTTTATTTATTTGACTGTGTTGGGTCTTAGCTGTAACACACGGGATCTTGGCTGCTGTATGCAGGATCTTTTAGCTGCAGCATGTGGGATCCAGTAACCTCATCAAGGATTGAACCCAGGTCCCCTGCATTGCAAGCATGGAATCTTAGCCACTGGACTACCAGGAAAGCTCCCAGAAAGAATCCTTTTTAAAGGACCATATCTCCTTTTTCACTCCTTTTTCACCTCTTTAAAATGAATCATGTTTTAAACCATATTTTAAAGTGCACAGCATTTCACTTAAAAAAAAAAACACAGCAGAACAGACAATAATGATGCGTGTGATAACAACATGAGAGTAGTAACAACCACCTACTGCTCTCACACTGATCATGTCATTTAACTTCCACACAAATCTTAATGAGATAATTAATATTACTGGCCCATTTTTACTTATGAGAAAACTGAAGTTTTAGAAAATGGAAGTAAATTCCTAACAGATAACACTGCTATAATGCAGCTGAGATTTGAACACAGGTAGTCAAACTCCATAAATTATCACCCATATGTGTCAAGTCAAAAGTTACCCCCGCTTTGTTTCTGTGAGGGCTGGGGAAGTGCTGATTACTATAGCTTGTTGTTAATGAACAAAAGAGGTCTATTTTTCCAGGTTTACTGAAAACAGTCCAGGTCTGACCTTCCTATTGTCTTTTAAGTTAGATTAGACTCTTCAACATTTGGCTTGGTTCCCTAATGTGTCTTACATGTTAATATAAAAACTATGACCACTAGTCTGTTCACTAGATACACTGGCCTGTAGATACACAGAGGTAGATGTACATTGCTGACAGTTGCAATGAGCTCTGAGTCTATAAAATAATGGAATTCAAAGTTGCCTGGCATTACAAATGTCTAACAGCTAATGAGTAGATAAATGGGATGTAGTAGACACATCTACAATGATGGAATATCATGAGCTACTGAAACATGTAGCAACATGGATTATCTCAAAAACATCGTAGTAAGGGAAAGAAGCCAGATGCATAAGATGGCATACTGTATGATTCCACTTACATGAAATTCCTAGAAAAGGCAAAACAAGCAACAGAAAGCAGACGAGTAGTCACCTGGGGCTAAGAGTAGGCATTAGGATTAAGAACACTTTTTGTGGTGATGGAAGTGTTCTCAAACTTGACTGTGGTCATGTTTGCACAACTGTATAAATTTACTAAAACTCATTTGTGTACTTAAAAATGGGTGGATGTTACGGTATGTAAATTACATTTTAAGAAAGCTTTGTGAAAGCAAACAAATCTCTAATCAATGTATTAAGAAGGAAAAGGCATGGGAATAGCTTTTCCAGTACACAAAATGTAAATCATCTCTAGATTCTGTAGCTCATTTGGTGCACCTAAAATTGTTTCTTGGATGACTTCCTGTCAGTGAATCAGAAATTCACCAGTTTCACTGTATAGAGGACAATGAGAAATGCAGCGGGAGAGACACCTAGGGATCTCAGTTTAAGTGGCTCCAGGTGAGTGGATAGAGGATGACATCTCATAGCATTATGGATGGCATCATCAACTCAACAGACATGAGTCTGAGCAAACTCTGGGAGATGGTGAAGGAAAGAGAAGTCTGACATGCTGCAGTCCATGGGGTTGCAAAGAGTTGGACACGACTGAGCAACTGAACAACAATAAGTTGAGTGGAGATGGCCAGACATGGGGCACTAAGGGAGAGGAAGGCGAGGGAGGGCAGTCTTTCTGTGGCATCCACCTTCGTGCTGAAGGTTGATACCGACTGGGCAAAATGCACAGGTGGGTGCCCCCACCTCTTTCCTCTGCAAAGTGCTCAAGTTCCTCTCTTGGTGCAGGGCCACCTTTTTAGAAGGATCAGCCAATTCAAGGCCTTTTGTGAATTCCTTTGCTGGAACCCCCATAAAAGTAAAAATAACCCCCACTTTTCAAAATTAATATATAGGCTGCCATTCAAAATCACAAACTGTTGGTAGAAAAAAAAGTGAGGTGGCCGTTCCAAGTGGGAAAGTGGAACACGCACACACCCAGAAAAGGGAGAGAATTCATAGGAACGCTGTTTGGAAGAAAGAGCCCAGCAGGAATGAAGGTGGTGGTGGTGGGGTAGTCCATAGGTGGCTAAGGGATAGGGGAGGCTCAAGGAGCTGGGAGCCTGGACATTTACATTTAGTTTAAAAAAATAAGTGGGGACCATATAAGGAAGAGACAAACTCAAAGCAGTGAAAGTGACACTTGCTCAATACTATCCGACTCTTTGTGACCCCATGGACTGTAGCCCACCAGGCTCCTCTGTCCATGGGATTCTCCAGGCAAGAATACTGCAGTGGGTAGCTGTTCCCTTCTCCAGGGGATCTTCCCAACCCAGGGTTCGAACCCAGGTGAGAGCTGAGTCAGAAAGAGGATGGAGGCTGGGAGACTAAAAGGCCTGAAGCTATGAAGTCTAAGCTCTAGTCAAGGTCATGGCTAGAGATGCTACTGAAGAGGCAGTGGATGGTTTGGCAGCCTGGAAAACAAGACTGAGAAGGGGGTTGACAAACTCCATCCTGGCTGCTGAGCCTGCCGACACATGTGCACACCCGCCCATATGACCAGCTGTTGATGTAGCTTCATGTCTGGGGCAGAAACAGCTGCAAGACACATAGGCTGGGCACCGGGCAGAGGCCCCTGGATGCCACAGTCCTGATCAGTATGCGATACATCCAGCCTGCACAGCACTTCACCTGCCAAGCCTGAACGCCACCCACAGCCACTGGCATGTGGGGACTTGGCTTTCTCACTATGAGAGAGACAGTTCTCTGGGTTTTGTCCTTAAAGGGCCTACCTATCCCATTCCCCTCCCCCAACCTCATCCCCCAGAGCCCAGATACTATGCTGGAGCAAACATTCATATTCAGTGTTCAAAAAAAAAAGTTGCTGAGTCTTATATTTTTATTGAGGATTGCGGGGAGGGGCTAAAACTTACCACAGGAAGTGTAGGCTGTTCCTCAAAAGTATAGGCTTGTAAGCTGCCTCTTCTGCTGGAATGATTCTTATATATAAAAAAAGGACAAGATAACTTTAGGTCTCCGCTTTGTCTCTGAACGGCAGATAAGGTAGTGGGATGGGTGTGATGGGGAAGAAAAATGAACACCCCCTCCACCCACATGGAGATTCTCTCAGCCTCGCTCAACACCAAACACCTTCCAAATTCCAGCTCACAATTCTCCCCCTGAGTCCTAGACCGTCTCCTGGACACCATTTCTTGAATGTCTAACAGAGAGCCCTTTATTGTATTCAAAACTGAACTCAGTTTTCCCCTGTCCACACCCACTCAAATCCGTTCCCTCTCAGGTATTCCTTGTCTTCAGTGGGCAGCCTGGGAGGCCAGCAGCTGCCCCCTAGGCAAACATCGTCAGTCCCCTGAGTTCTCCCCTCCTGTCCCTATGGCCAAATCAGTCACCAGATGCTACGCATTCTATTTCTTTGCAAGCTCTCAAATACATTTCCCTTGCACTTTAAAAAAATTTTCAAGTTTTCATCACTTGTCACTTTGACTATTAACTGTGGCAACATCCTAACAGATTTGACTGCTACAAGTCTTTTTTGCTTAAATCTGCTCTCCATACCACGAGTTGCAGCCAGAGAGCGTTCTGCAGCACAGACATATTCACCATTCTCTCACTCAGAGCCCTTCAATAACTTCTTCCGTCACTAGGGTAAAATCTGCAGCACAGAACACAATGTGGGTGAGCTTCCAGGGCTGACTCCAGCCCTCTTACCTCACAAGCCACCCTCTGGACATTCAAGATTATTTGTTTCCTAGAAATCCAGTATTTTTTCTTTCCTGTGCTTTTATATGCATGCTGCTGTCACTTTCTGAAATATTTTAGTTTGGTTACTTAATGACATTAACATTTATAATATATGTAGGACTTAATTCAGAGGAGCCACTGTAGGATTGTTTACAATAACAAAGAACTGTAAACGATCTGAAGTCCATCGAAGGAAACTGGAGAAACAGCTTAAGGGTTACTTAGGGAATGATGTTTGATTATTTTGGTGGTGGTGGCTATAAAAAGAGCACTTCTATATTTACTGAAATGGTCCAATGTCTATGATACAGTACATAAAAAATAAGTTACCAAAAAGTGTGTGCAAGATGATCTCAGGCTAAAGAACTGATATACAAATATGTGTGCATGCATCTTTATGCACACATAGAAAATGTTTAACACTATATATACCAAACCACTTATACCCTGAGAAAACCATTAACTGAAAAATATACATGTACCCCACTGTTCATTGCAGCACCACTGACAATGGTAGGACATGGAAGCAGCCTAGATGTCTGACAGATGAATGGATAAAGAAGCTGTGGTACATATATGTAATGAAGTATTATTCAGCCATAAAAGGAATGCATTTGAGTCAGTTCTAATGAGGTGGATGAACCTAGAGCCTACCATACAGAGTGAAGTAAGTCAGAAAGAGAAAAACAAATATTGAATATTAACATGTATATATGGAATCTAGAAAGATGGTACTGATGAACCTATTTGCAAGGCAGCAACAGAGATGCACACACAGAGAACAGACTTGTGGACGTGAGGAGCAGGGGGAAGGAGAGGGTGGGACGAATGGAGAGAGTAGCATGGAAACATACACTATCACATATATAACAGCCAGCCAGTGGGATTCCGCTGTGTGACTCAGGGAGCTCAAACTGGTGCTCTGTGACCACTGGGGAGAGAACAGGATGGGAGGTGGAAGGGACGTTCAAGAGGGAGGGGACATATGTATGCCTATGACCGATTCATGCTGATGTATGGCAGAAATCAACACAATGCTGTAAAGCAATTATCCTTCAATTAGAAATAAATGAAAAACAAAAAAATATGGTGCATGTGTGTGTATGTGCATGTACACACACACAATGAAATATTATTCAACCATAAAAAAGAATGAAATAATGCCATTTGCAGCAACATGGACAGACCTAGAGATTATCAAACTAAGTAAAAGAGAAAAATATCATATGATATCACCTACACATGCAATTTAAAATACAACACAAATGAACTTATCAACAAAACAGAAACAGATTCATAAACATAGAGAACAGACTTGTGGTTGCCAAGGGTGAGGAGAATGGGGGAGGGGTGGACCAGGAGTTTGGGATTAGCAGATGCAAACTATTAAATGTAGAATGGATAAACAAGAAGGTCCTACTGTATAGTACAGGAAACTATATTCAACATCCTGTGATAAACTACAATGGAAAAGAATATGAAAAAAGAATGTGTATGTGTATATATATATATATATATATATATAACTGAATCACTGTGCTGTATACCAGAAATTAATATAACATTGTGAATCAACTATATTTCAATAAAGTAAATTTAAAAAACAAGATATGCCAAACCATTAATGGCAATTGATGGAGCATATGTCAGAGGTAAGATGGAAAACTTAATTTTTATTTTATACACCTCAGTACTGTTTTAATTTTTAACCATGACCATACAATACTTTAAAAATAATAAATTAACTTTTTTGAATTAATATGCACATGGTAAGAAATTCAAAAGGTACGAAAGATATATGCTCTGCTCACCATGTTTTTCTCTTTAGAGCTGAGCAAGGTTACCTAGTTGAGTTTTCAAGAAATATGATACACACATTTATTCTGACATGTAAATAATTTTATAAATGGTAACACATCAACCACACTGCTCAGTACCTCAGTTTTCCACTGAGCAATATTTCTTCGTTCCATACAACATATGTATTCAAAGATACTTCATTCTTTTCAGGGACTACATTGTATGCCATTGTATAGATGCCACCTATTACTTTAGTAATTAAAAAAATAAAAATAACAGGAGGAAAAAGAATAGGATGTCACCAGAAAAATCAATATAGTTTATCCTTTAAGTCTTTGACTGATCTTTCCCACTCCTCAAACAAAAAAATGAAATGACATGAATGGAAGATAGATGGATGGAAGAAAGGAGGGGAAGGGAGCAGGCAGGCCTATCTGCTCTTGGATATTCACACAGGCATTTACATAGAACTGTCTACACTGAAGCATCATGAGAAAGGTGCTAAAACAGAAGTCAGCAAATTTTTCTGTTAAGGTCCAGATAGTAAGTAGTTTTTGTTGACTATATCATCTCTGTTAATTTACTGTGAAAGCAGCCATGGGCAATACTTAAACAGATGGGTGAACTGTATTCTAAAGATATTTTAACCATCATAAAACCAGTGTGTAGTCAGCCCTCCATATTTACTGACGGAATGGAAAGTGCAGAATTCCAAAAGGAAATGACCACAATATCCTTGGACACCTCTTTGTCTTCCATTGAAATGTCTCCCTTGATACAGATGAGAGAGTTAGCCACAAGGATCCCATCAGGGCAGTGTATGTGGGAATACTGACTTCTGGACCCCAGAGATAGCAAGTTTATAGTGGCTGCTGGAGTGAGAAGGTCATCTATCTCCTTGTTTAGTCAAAGTATATCAGCTCTTTTTCACATGTGTGTTGGTGACATGTGTGGTATCCCTGAAAACGAGAAGAGTAACCCCAAGCACCCAGGACTTGGCCTGGCACTCAGCACAATTCAAGACAAAATCAAGACTACTTTGTAATCACGCCTAAACACAGCAAAACATGAACACTGTCCAAACCACAAGATACCAAATATCTCCCTATCCTGGCAGATACAAGTGACTGCTGCTTTTTGCTAATCATAGCTTTAGCCTTGCTACAGATAAGATTTAAGACACCACATCACAGAATTATCCCTGCTTCCTGATAGCATCCAATGTGAGGTCCTGCTTCATTAAACCCTCCTGAAAATTGCCTAACACAAGTTGAAATCCTTTAAGTCTTTCATAACATACTATTACCGAGATGTTCATGGTTTGTATTCCCCTTGCTGGAATGAGTAATAAACTCAACTTGTTCAATTACAAGTGTGTTCCTAATAGTCTATGGCTGAGGGCATTGATTTATGTAATAGATAATTAGACTCCAATGACCATTTGGATTTTCTACAGCTCTGCTCCATACTGTTAGTGGGGATAGTTGAAAATGGCCATACTGTAAAGTACAAAAGTCCCTAACACATTATTATGTGCAGCTTAAGACAATATTTTGTCATCACAAGAAAAAAAAACATGGGTGTTGTATATTAACTAAACTTACAATTTTGCAATACATAGATCAAATCATTATGTTCTATACCTTAAACTAACACAATGTATTATAATGTCAATTATATCTCAACAAAAATGGAGAAAAAAGACAACATTTTATGCAAAGGTTAAATACTGAATGGAATAACATATGTGTGTGTGTGTGTGTGTGTGTGTGTGTGTATGTGTGTATACTCAGGTGCTATGTCATGTCTGATTCTTGCAACCCCATGAACTATGTAGCCCACCAGGCTCCTCTGTCCATGGGATTTCCCAGGCAAGAATATTGCCAGGTTGCCATTTCCTTCTCCAGGGGATCTTCCTGACCCAGGGATCAAACCCACATTTCCTGCATTGGCAGGCGGATTCTTGACAACTGAGCCACCAGGGAAGTCCACATGTATTTATATATAAAATACAAATATAATATTTATATATAAAAATATAAAATCCTGAAGCTCCACCAAAATCTAAGAAGCATCTTACTGAGTTGGATACTGGCTGGCCACTGGCTGAATTTCCACCAACAGTGAGTCTGGCATTCAATTCTTCTGCAAGATGAGTCTGGACATCCAAGTTATTTGATGGTGGAGATGAAGGGAAGGCTTGATGGCCGTACATGGTGGCTTCATCTTCTCTTATAATTTCCCAGTTCTAAAATGAACAGAAGCTTAAACTACATACTTCAATCAATTGCTATAACATATATCTACCAACAAGAACGAGAAAATGATTTCTACCTCAGAAGATTCTCGGTTGTCAACACTTTCTGTTTCCTCAGATATCTGTCTCCTGGTGGTAAATGCACGCTGGGCTTGCAGTTGAATGTTACCATTCTCAGCATCTGTTAGGTTGTCCCTGCATTAGAAATGTAAAAGCCATCACGCACGCCTGATGAGAATCAAAATGACAGCTAAAAAATTCTGTGTTCATTTAGAAAGTATCCATATTAGATCAGAATTCATTGTTTGGACCCAAAGGCTAGTTCAACATGCTCAGGTTAAGTTGTAGGCACAACAGTACCCTCAGAGTACCTTATGGAGTTAAAAGTTTTTGTGAAAATGGGTAACGTGCATAATATTTCATCACTGTACCTAGGGAAATGTCTCCTGTGTATGGGCACTCAAAAATATTTGTTGAATGAATGAACACCTGAGTGTTGCATAAGTAATTTTATTATATTATTATTTCACCATGTTATTACAAGAGCAAAATCTGAAGTAGCTCTAGAAAGTTCATAAAACAGAAGCTTTTTAAGAGTTGCATTTATATCTTCATGAATTAGAAAGTAACATTTTCCAGAACTGGTCTCAAGCCAAGGGTCTGCCCTCTAGTTTCCCATGCATGAATGTAGAAGGCAGAAGGAAAGACAGTATAAGGACACCATAATTAAAAATGTAATAGATTATAGATTAAATGGTATCTGTTTTTTTTATCATATACAGTAATGGGCCTGTTCTGAAAAAGCACAGTAGTAAAGGAGTGTCTGAATTTAGGAAAGGCATGGTAAATCAGACTGCATATCCTTTCCGCAGTCATTCATTAGTTATACTACTCTAGCTAGTCATGTTTAATATAGCCAGACCATAAGATCAAGAATTTTGTATAAGTATTTAATAACAAGATTACTGTTAATTTACCTAGTGCCATATAAGCCCAGGATATTCAGAAGACCAATTCTTGCTGTACAGTTGCTGGAGAAAACATAGTGGTCCTAAGGGAATGCCTCATACATTTTTCCCCCCTAAATAAATGATTTTTGCTGGCTGAAAGCAACCTCAACCACAGTGAACGAAATGTGATTCTGCTCAAGTCAGGCTTGCCACAATACAGAGGTATACAACAAGAAGTTTCAGAATTTTATCATGCATTCAGTCTTGTAATCTGTATGCCATTCTACAGAGAGCAATGCCTCTGTGACACGAAGCAGCTGGATCATCAACTTGCTCTAGAAGCATCTGAGAACAGAAAACGTCTACAAAAGTGCTTGGGGATTTCCCTGGTGGTCCAGTGGTTAGGAATTTGCCTTCCAATTGCAGGGGATACAGGTTCAATCCTTGGTCGGGGAACTAAGATTCCACAAGCCGTGGGCAACTAAGCTGCTGCTGCTGCTGTTGCTGCTAAGTTGCTTCAGCAGTGTCCGACTCTGTGTGTCCCCATAGACGGCAGCCCACCAGGCTCCGCCATCCCTGGGATTTTCCAGGCAAGAACACTGGAGTGGGTTGCCATTTCCTTCTCCAATGAGTGAAAATGAAGTCGCTCAGTCATGTCCGACTCTTAGCGACCCCATGAACTGCAGCCTACCAGGCTCCTCCGTCCATGGGATTTTCCAGGCAAGAGTCCTGGAGTGGGGTGCCATTGCCTTCTCCAGGGCAACTAAGCTGGTGTGTCACAAACAGAGAGGACACATGCTGCAACTAGAGAAGCCCGAACGCCACAACTACCGAGCCCATGCACTCTACAGCCCTCACACTGGAAAAAGAGAAGCCTGTGTGTGCAGCCATGAAGACCCAATGCAGCCAAAATTAAGAAAAAAAAAGTGCTTGAGCCATGTGTGTGTGTTCAGTTGCTCATTGTGACCCCATGGACCATAGCCCACCAGGTTCCTCTGTCCATGGTATTTTTCACGGCAAAAATAATGGAGCAGGTTGCCATTTCCTAGTCCAGGGGATCTTCCCGACCCAGAGACTGAACCCACATCTCTTGCATCTCCTTCACCGGCAGGCAGATTCTTTACCACTAGTGCCACCTGGAAAGCCCCATTTATAAATACCAGTCCGATGATAATAAAAGAAAAATATCACTGAGGAAACATAAATCAGAATGCCTGAAAGGCCATTCTGTCCTTGATTTGGATACATCAGAAATTATGTACACATTCACCAGACTGGTAAATGGGTGTTTAACAAAAGAACTTATTATTGAGTCCTTTATACTTTATAAGTAATTTCTGTTTTAAAAACACTGTGCTGTAGAAATCAACTTCTCATTATATTTTAGTAACAAACTAAAAAATCTCCAAGATTTTCTAAATCAGTCTAGAAAGAAAAATGTTCCTTTTGTGGCTATATAATAATTTAAAACAGAAATAACTGACAATTCATTAAAATTAAAGAAGCAATCAGAAGGCTGATATTTGTAATTCAAATACTTTTTAATACTATCAAATCACTTTAAGAAAGAAACACCTATGATAGCACTTTTTATGCCCTGTGCCATAAAAAAAAATCCTAGTATTCTTGCAGTCTTTGGATTCCCATACTATTATGAATCCATTTGAGTCATGACTTCAAAATGAAAATCAGTGGTCAAAATGTATTCAGATTACAAACACGAAAGTCACTAGCACATACTGAGGGGTTGGTCTTTTCCACTGTGTTCTTCTAGATTCATGGTTTACATAGTAGGTCCTTCCAAGGATATCTTGTCTCTCTTCCCATCCTGGAGGTAGAGGAGAAGGTTCTTGTTGCTGCTGCAAATGGCAAGCAGCATCTGGTTGGTCCAAAACTACCCAGCCAGGCTGAAAAACAGAATGGTGACAATTAAGTTTACGCTTATCTTTTTTTAACCTTATAAATTAATGCCACTAGCACCACCTGGAAAGCCCATAAATTATGCTAGAGGAAATTTTAAGAGATTAAGCATACCCAGTTTCATAAACTATGCAGACAGAATGAGCACACTGTCAAGTTTTAACACCTAACAGGAATATCTGACGATAATTAAGGTTGTTTTTTTTTTTTCCCCCAAAATGATAACACTTAGATTTTGCTTGAATTTAATTTTTTTTTAATTTTTTTGAAAAAAATTAAAACATGTCTAATAGGAGAAAAAGAACTTGGAAAACTTTAAAATAAACAGCATTGGAAGACACTAAGAAATGGAGAAGCACACTTCAACCTTACACTATTCTCTAAATTATAAGCAGGGATCGTGTCTTACTGGGTATTGTCTCTCTCAGAGAGCAAGCACCTTGCTAATTGTGGAAGTAAATAACTCTCTGAAACCTGAAAAAAATTGCTGTATGAAGGTCAAACATGTAGAGGCATGATAGGCAAGGGCAAATGATTTAGAAACGGTGATTGAAAAGACATTATGATTCTCTGGTCTGACTTTTCTCTTTCTCCTCTGGACCATGGAATGGCATTTTGGTCAAGTCATAAAACAGCCAAAGAAAGAAAGTTTTGTTTTGTTTATATGCTAGGAAGGCACTGGAAATTTCCTCTGAGACTAGCAAGCGGCAAACATACAAAAAAACCTTAGCTAGGGTAGTTAGAGTAAGGAATTATTTGAAAAAAGTAGCAAGGGTTAATGACATGATTTTATACGAGAAACCTCAAAACAGAGAAGGCAGTCAGGAAAAGGTTCTGCTACACACCGATATGGTTAGGAAGCATAAATAAACTATCAATGAAAACTTGAAAACTCTCCTAAAAGGTACACAAGAGAAGACCTGACTGAACGAAAAGACAATGTGATCTTGGCTAGGGAGATTTAATCTCACAAACACATCAATTCTCCCCAAGTTAATTTATAAAGTTGTCAAGATTTAAATAAGACTACATCATGGATTTTTTAAAATAACATGACAAAGCAATTTTCAAATTCAAATAGACACAAAAACAAGCAAAAATAATCGGCACAATTCCAAAAAAGAGTGAAGATAAACTTTATCAGATAAAACATACCATAAACCACAATTAATTAATAGAATTGGAAAGCTAAGAAAGAGAATCCAATTTATAGAATTCAGTATATGATACAGGCATTTCAAATCTGTGGGAAGATAAGCAAATTACTTAGAAAAAAAGAATGAAAAATTATCTGGACTGCTACTTCATACCTTGTAACCAGAATGTTACAGATTGAGCAATATTTAAAATGTTACAAAGTAAAACCAAAATGTATATCGAATCACATTTTATTTCTCTGGTCTCAATTTTAAAAGCATGTGAGTTGAATTTTTATATTTCAACCTCTTGGGAAAAAAGGACCAATTTTTAAAAATATGGTCACTGATTATATTTCTGCAGATTAATAAAATTCATTAATAAAAAGGTCCTCCCTACTGCTGTAAAGGATTATAAAAATATCCAGAGCTTGGAAAATGGCACCAAAAATATTTTAGAATCTTCTTAAAAGATTTCTCTATTAAAGGTCTTTTTATTGAGTTTATGTTACGCAAGCAAACTTCTGGAGGGGAAAAAAACTAATTTAATTAAGGGCCTANTGGCACCAAAAATATTTTAGAATCTTCTTAAAAGATTTCTCTATTAAAGGTCTTTTTATTGAGTTTATGTTACGCAAGCAAACTTCTGGAGGGGAAAAAAACTAATTTAATTAAGGGCCTATTTTTTAAAAACCTGTTTCAGTTCAAGGAAGAAGCATAGTTACCCATTTGTTTACTCATTTCTAAATATGAACATTGTTTAGAAAGAACGGGTTTTCATTTTCAGTATAGAATGCCTCCCTATTAAACATGTATCAGCTAATATTCTTCACAAAATAATTTTCTAAGGATCAATGTATGTTACTTAATTACTAACCTCAAAGCTAACGTGCAACTGCCCATAACTTAACAGTCAAAGATGGTCAAAAAGAAAGGATTCAGAGGTACACCAAACATTATTATGTAGTAATCACATAAAATACATAGAGCTAAACCTAAAGTTACAAGGGGTACAAAAAAAAATATTACATAATTATGTACTATAGTCACACTTTACCAAACTTTATCCTACCAGGGTACACACTGCCTAAGAGTGAGCCTCTTTTGAAAATTACAACTATTTTCTTTAAATGGTAGAATTTTACATATTCAGTCACAAACCAGATGTCAAAGACAAGACTTCTCTGGTCATTAGCTACACAGAAGATAAATAAGCACAGATTCATGTGTTTGAATTCCTAGGGCCTTTCATAAATAAACTCCTACATGCTTACATCTACTGAAATTATAAGGTGCATTCTGAGGGAATTCAAACTTGAGACATGAGACCACAAAATGAAGCGAAGCAGCTCTACCCACAGAAACTGAACTGTGAATAAGGTACCTGTGATACATGCATGTGGGCAAAACTTGGAGCAGGTTACCAAATAATGAAATGCTGTTAAAAATTTTTAAGTTACTAAATAAAGAATTTTCTTTCTTTATAGCAGACATCCTTCATTTCAAACAGAATTCCATTATTCAGGTTTCCCTGTGCACTAAAATGCCAGTTAGAGAGAAAATTCAACTCAATAAATTCCTAAATTAAAAAAAAAAGATTATTATATGACACATCACAGAAAAACTAAAAAGAAAAAAAAAAGGTATCAAATAAGGGCATTAGATGTGAGAGAGGATATTAAGTTTCTTTGGTCACCAGAGTAATAAGGCTAACTATTTAAAGAAAAAAGTTCTTTCTTTCTGTTGTTATAGATTCCCCCACAAAGTAAAATCTCATTAGTGCATATAAAAAAAAAATTCCCAGGAATCTTTGTCTCAAAAGCACTGCTTGTTATCAAATTTTCTCAAGATGTTTGGGTGTGTGATGCAGAGCCCAGCCCTGGGGAAGGGTCCCTCAACCTGACGGTCCTTCTGGAGACTTTAGCAGACCCTTCGTCACAAAAGCAGGACTCCTGAGAAGAGGCACACACACAACCCCTCCAAAGCAAACCGATGCCGCAGTAAGGGTGCAGTCAATGTGGTTAGAATAAGGTGCTACCTTCTGATGATAATGTTTGTTAGGTGGGAACCTCAAGGGGCAAATGTTTTTGCTCCCTCTTCAGATCACGAACTTCTTGTGCTGGAAGAAACCCTAGAGGGTAGCAGTACACCCTGTCACTCTGCAGAGGAACAGCCTGAAGTCCAGAGGGGGCTGAGGCTCACATGGTCACAAAGCTCACAAGCGGCAGAGCTTGCGGCTAGGGCTCCAGGCCCCAAGTCCCTGTCCAGGTCTACTCCAAATACATGTTCTCTGCCTCTTCTTCACTTACCCCAAATGCAGGTGGCTCTGCCCAAATCCTTGACTGCGCTGCCTCTTATCCTGTCACCCATGAAGATGGTTAACCTCTTTTGGCCCCCAATAAATGTGGCTTTTTATTAGATCAGTTGAATTTTTTTTCTCTCTCTTGGTCTCCTTTTCTATGAGCCCTCCCACACCCACTCCAACCATGATAGGAAAGGTAACAGGAATTACATTTCATAAAGGAGTTCCTAATTAGCATCTTCAAATTTTCCATATATTTAACTTAAAACAATAAATTGTGTTCTTACTTTAATAGAGGGGGCACATGACATGGTTTTAGAAAACTCTGAAAAACTAGAAACAGTTAATGACTTAATTACAACAAATGCTTTCATTCATAAACATTGTAATCTCTATTCCTTAAGCTTTAAGAATGCCATCAGTAATGGCCATTCATTTCACAGAAATATCCTTAGAGGAAAGAAATGTTTAACAAATTCTTGGGTAAAATAAACAAATGTCTAGGGAAGTAATTTTTATTGCACACATACAACTTTATTAAGTAGTTATTTTTTCTTTAGAGTATAGTAAAATAAGAAATTGGATATTTTTCTTCTTAGTTTAACCAAATATTTATAAAATCTCACCTCTAATTCCTCAGCCTGTTCTGTGTTATCGTCTTCTGAGCCACTGGTTTTAGGTAAGTAAGTCATTTTTAATCTCAGATAACCTTTAACTCTTGATTTGTGACTGTAGAAAGAAAATAATAATTCACACAACTTTAACACTAAGAAGAAAACTATTCATTCAATAAGAGTTCATTGAACATCTACTAGCTTACTAGGAGAGATTCAAGACAAGTTTCAATGCAGAATAAAAGGAATAGATGGTGGAGAAAAAGAAACATCCATAAATAAATAATTGTTATGAGATAAATAAGGAACTGGAAGTTTAAGTGAAAGATCAGAGAGGTCTTGAAAAAGAAGCTGGTATCTGAGTTGGGCTAGAAGACTGGGGAGGATTTTGATCTATGGCAGTCAGGGAAAGGCATAAGAGTAGAGAAAAGGGCAAAAATAAGGAAATAGATGGGAAACCAGGGGTGCAGTTAAGGAAATGGAAGTAGCTGAGACAGGCTGAATTACAGGGTATATAAAGGAGGTGGGAATGGTCCAGCTGATGAGGTCTGTGTGAAGTAGAACTTTTAGATTTTATTTTGCATATAATTTGGAGGATAGGGAAAGGCATCCTCACAGCTGTGCTTTAGGGATAATAATCTAGCCATGTTGTATAAGATAACAGAAAAGTAGAGAGCAAGGTCAGATAACTATCTGAAACCTAATGTCTTTGACAGCTGTTTGAATCTGTCATATAGTAATTTATCTAACCTACTTTCATACTGTATCTCATACCACCTCTTATAAAAATGAGTTGTCTAAGTTAAGGGTTGCTGCCCAGAGTAGTAATACTTAATTTAAAAAATTTTAAATTTATTTTTGCCATACCCACAGCATGTGGGATCTTAGTTCCCTGACCAGGGATCAAACCCATGCCCTCTGCATTGGGAGCATGGAGTCTTAACCACTGGACCACCAGAGAAGTCCCCTCATTCAATTTTTTTAAAAAAACCTGTCTTTCTTAAGATTTTAACTTAAGACCTAACTCTGTCTATTGCCCCCACCAATTCTATAATAGCATCCTGTTTACTTAGGAAATCCTTGCTTGTCATGGCTTTCTATATTGGTTTTTTGAATAATTTTTATAGATTCCAGTTATATAATAAGACATAAGAGTCCTAATCTTTCCTCTTGTCTTCAAGAGGTACTCCCCTATGCCACTCTTATTCTTTTTAGTTGTTCTCTACACAGTTCTCATGGATTTGGAAAGTGTCCTTCTCTGACTGGCCAGTAAACCCCCCAATGCTTATTTCCAGACCACTAATGTGACTCATGTCTCCATAGTCAAGGGGGTATGAACACTCTATGACTTCTTATAAAAGACAGATACAGAAAACTTACTCAGGTAATATTTTATAGGAGAGTTTCTCTACAATGATAGGTTTTATTATGTTTTTCCAGCTAGATAATAAGCCTGTGGGTTTAAATCTATTGATGTTCAAAAAAAATCTAAGAATGTAGTTGGATAAAACTCTTTCTGCACTTGCAGCAATACCCAGTGCAGACAGAAGGTGTAAACTGTTATAGTGTTTTAAAGATAAAGATACCAGAAAGCATTCAACAAATTGAAAAGCAGGTTACTAGGGCAACCAAATAAGAGAAGAACTATTTAGTTATTCTTGGTATACAGATGTCACAATCAGTTCATAATTAAAGCAAGAAAAGGGACTCACATTGCATGACTTCTACAGAAATTAAATGTGACTTCTCTTATAGACAGAAAATATGAACACAGTCAAAGACCACTGTTCCCTTTATTTAAATTTATATTACAATGAATATTTAAATTTTTTAATCAAAAATTTTACTAAGTTCATTTGCATTTTCTAGTTTTAAAGAGAAAACAAATAGTTTTGCACAGATGTCCTTCCTCGGCTTTACTTCAACCTTTTTGTCAGTAAATTCCCATACATGTCTTAACTAGATTTTACTAGATTATGTGGTACAGAAGATCAAAAGGTGTTTTATTTAAAGCTTAAACTTAAAAGTTTTTGACAAAAATCAAGTAATTCAGTTTAGGAAAATGGAATTATGAACATGCTATTTGGGTTTTAAATTACAGTCTTTGCTCATGCTATTTTCTCTAAATATTTGAGTTTTCTGAAATTTTTTTAAATGAAAGTATGCAAAATGTAGTTACATTTCCTTGAAAATGTTTTCATATCAAGTTGGATTCTTTTTTCTGACTGTGCCACACAGCTTAGGGGATTTTAGTTCCCCTACAGGGACTGAACCAGGGCTATGACAGTGAAAGTACGGAGTTCTAACCACTGGACCACCAGAGAACTCCCTAGGTATTTTTTCTTAGATAAACTGATGTTTGCAATTTTTCATTACACAGTATGACAAAATTACACACAGCATAAGATATAAAATACATATAAATTAATGACATATTTCATTCTTCTAGTCTGATAAATATTAGGGAGAAAAGTCCTTCCCAAAGGGGTATGATCACTTTTCTATATTTTCAGAATTTTTGTACTGTGCATATATAACTTTTTTTGATTTTTTGATGTGGACCATTTTTAAAGCCCTAATTGAATTTGTTATAATATTACTTCTGTTTTATGTTTTGGTTTTTAGGCTGTGAGGCATGTGAGATTTTAGCTCCCTGATCAGGGGTCAAACCTGCACCCCCTGCATTGGTAGGCGAAGTCCGAACCACGAGATCACCAGAAATTACTTTTTAATCAGAAACAGCAACAAAGCTTTAAAAAACTAATATTTAAAAGTAGCTTATTTACAAAGTTTTAAACTGATTTTCCAAAGAGGCTACTGTAAAGTATAATGATATTTTTAAAAAACCTTCATAAGCTATTATTTTATATTTACTAACCTTCTTGGATGAAGAACAAAATCCTTAAATGTATATGGTCTCTCCATTCTTGGATTTTCTGTCTAGAATAAAACAGTGGGTTTTTAAGATATATCTATAACAAAAAAAATTTATACTTTTCAAGAATATTCATAAACTATGACCTAAGGCATAACTGAAGTTAGAAGTCAGAAAAAAGTAGATTTAGCTTATTAAATGGTTACAATTGGTGATTTGACAGTACTTTCACTTTCCTGCACTGTAGGAATTGCTCCTGGCAGCACAAGTCAGTATGAAACTATCTAAGCAGGTGTTCGTGAAGCCAAAAGGAGGGTAAAAGCAGAAAAACACTAGAGAATGGTTAGTGTGTTTGCGCCCCAAAAGAATACGGAATATGTATTCAATAAAATGTTGGCATGGTTAGACCACAAAGGCAATTCTAGGAGAACAAAGAAAGTAAGCAGCTTGGAAAATAAGACTGAATTAAATTCATTATTAAAAGTTTGCAATGTCTAAAGACTGTAGAGAGACAATAAACATCTGAAAAGATTGATCAAGAATTACTACTTCTCTTTCTTAACAAGTTCAACAGTCCTTTGTTTTTATTATTCATTACTTCCCTGCTGCATTTGACATTGTTAAACTACCCATTACATCTAGAAACTCTTAAATTCTCATGACAACATTTCACTTGGTTCTTTTCTGTATTCTCTTGGTCTATCTTCTCTTTCTCCCCTGACAGAACTGCACTGATGAACTTTCAGTGTTTGGCCTTCAACGCTTTCATCCCTCTCATTTGGACAGTCCATCCTTCTCAGAGATTCTGCAGTTATCTCATCAGTGATAACTCTCAATCCTTCCAGACCCTTTTCCCTACACAATTTATTTTTATACCTCTTCAGTTGCCTGCTTTAAGTTTCATTTTTCTTGTTTTCTACTTGTATGTAATATGGCCAAAAATAAACTTACCATATCTTAAAAAAATCAAAGGCTTTCCTCCTACTCTTTCTGCTTGAGATACCACCCTTATCTCCCAAGTTCAACATGTATTATCTTTACTTTCTGCCTTTTTTGTTTATTTCAACTGGAGCTCCTGGTCCAATAATATCCTGTAATGAAATATCTCCTGAATCTGTTCTCTTCTGTTGCTATATGCTTGGTCCAGATTCACTTTCATGCCCATGTTGTTGTAACTGATCAGTTTCTTTCTGTGAAACTAAGCTTTCCCCAGTCTAGTTTTTCAGTAAAATATTTTCAAACTGATCTTCCTCAAACAATGCTTTCATGATGTCAACCAATCAGGGGCTCTCTATTTCTTTCTTTTTTTTTTTAAATTCAGGCTCTTGTCATACCTTCTAAGTTCATTTAGGCCTTTTTTAAAAAAATTTAAATTTTTATTTTAATTAGAATATATCCAGTTAACAATGTTGTGATACTTTCAGGTGCATAGCAAACTGATCCAGCCATACATATAGTATTTCCAATCTCCCCCAAGTTCCCATCCCATCTCTATTTCTTACTGGGGTTCATATAAGGGAATCTTCAAATTAAAATGGAAAATTGAGATATTTTCAGAAAATAAGAGGCTCAAGAATTAATAGCAGTACACATTTTACAAATCATATATTTACATTTACTATATTGTATATCTGTTAAGGATTTATTAAAATAAAAAGAATAAACATAAAAAGTAAAATCATGGACATCTATACCAACCGGTAATGGATAAAGAGGAACATCCACTTGACCTAGGAAATCATCTCTTGTCTACAAAAGAAAAAAAGAAAAAAATAACATTAATAATATGCTTGATCTTTCTGGAAAACTTGGAGAGCTATTGTCATCATTCATAAAAATATATAGAAGTTTTTTGTGTTTCTTTGTTTAACCCTATGAAAGAAAAAATCAATGGAAAATAAAAGGTGACATGGTACAACTTCTGGTAAAGGCAAATTAGACTAAATTACATTGAGCCTTCTGAAGATAATAACTCTATACTCTGAAAATATATTAAACAACTATTTGAAAGCAACATAGAATGACCAAAAGCAAGCAGAAACTAAAAAGGAGTCAGTCCTTGAAAGAATGAACTGTACTAGGTAGGATTCCTGTTTACATTGCTTTTCACCTGGCAATACTCCACAATTCATCTGAATGACTGGAACTCAAAGAGAAGTCTGAAATCTTACTCATTTGAGGAGTCTGAAAACTTACTTTAAAGTCAACAGTCTAACTGGAAAGTGAGGGTACAGCTCCCAAAGGGAAGAAGCCACGAGAGTCCCTCTAGATCTATGTATAAACTCTACCCAAGTTCCCAAAGGCTGAAAGGACTCAGTATAGATTTCACAGTGGATGTTTTCCTAGGGAAGCTAGCATTTAGAATTCAGTTACCAACCTGCTGTAACAAAAATCTTTTTGGGGAAAGATGATCAAACTCAATGTCTTCATCATGTGCCACTTACACAGTCCGAATACAATAAAAGTCACTAAGCTTACTAAGAAATAGAAAAACAGGACTCAGAAGCAAAAGGTAATTAATAGAAACGGACAAGATAAGTCAGATCTTGGAACTGGCAGAAAGGAAAATTAAAGTAACTGTTACAGAGATGTTCAAGGACATAAAATGGAAAATAAGGTCATAATAAACAAATATATGGGGAATCTATAAAAGAAATTAAAAATATAAAACGAAAGGGAAATTATAAAAGTGAGTTAAATGTATAGCTTGAAATCCATATATAACTAAAAAATCCAATATACGAATCGAAGATCAGTGGATCGGCTTAACATATGATTGAAAATGACTAGAGAAAAGTTCTGTGAACCTGAAGATACATCAGTAGAATTTATATAATATAAAAAAAGAGGACTTGTGGTAAAATACCAAGCAGTGTAATAGATATGGCAGTGAAGTTCCAGAAAGGAGAAGGGAGGAAGGAAAAGAAAAGAGAAAAAGAGAGAGACAGAGAAAAAAAAGATAAGGCAGAAAAATATTTTCAGAATAAAGTCTGCAGCTTCCCCAAATATTAACATCTCACATAACCGTAGCACAATGATCAAAACTAGGCAAACCCTTTTTAGAGGAAATATTAACCCTTCCGTTTATTCAGTCTTTTATTCTTAAGCTTTTTTAATTTTTTTAAAAAAACTATATATATATATATCAGACTGTAAATATCTGTCACCCATAATCTCAGTTGATTTAAAGTAAGTTTATGAGTGGCATTGGTGGTAAAGAACCAGTCTAGCAACGCAGGAGACATAAGAAATGCAGATTTGATCCCTGAGCCAGGAAGATCTCTTAGAGAAGGGCATGGCAACCCACTCAGTACTCTTGCCTGGAGAATCCCCTTGGACAGAGGAGATGGGTCAGGCTACAGCCCATAGGGTCGTGAAGAGTTGGACACAACTGAAGCGACTTAGCACACATGCAAGCTAATGAAAACCTTGACCCTCTGATCCTAGCTCCTCCCCTTCCAATCCTAGTTCACCAGGGGAACTAGGATTAAGTTAAGTAACTTCTCTGAGACTTTCTTGAATGTATCCATCCACATGCTTAATTTTTTAAAAAATTAAGGAATAATTGACATGCAACATTATATGAGTTTCAGATGTACAACATAATGATTCAATATTTGTATATACTGTAAAATAATCACCATTACAAAATTAGTTAACATTGGTCACCAAGCATAGTTATAGATTTTTTTTTCTTATGATGAGAACTTTTAAGATTTACTCTCTTAGCAACTTTAAAATATGTGATACAGTATTATTAGCTATAGTTACCATGCTGTACAGTAAGTCCTCATGACTTATTTATTTTAAAACTGTGAGTCTGTATCTTTTGACTCCTTTCACCGATTTACCCGAGTCCTCATCCCCTGCCTCTGACAACCACCAATCTGTTCTGTATAAGCTTGGTTTTTGCTTATTTTGTTTTTAGATTCCACATGTAAGTGAGAGCATACATTATTAGTCTTTCTCTGAGTTATTTCACTTTGCACAATGCCCTCGAGGTCCATCCATGGTGTTGCAAATGGCAAGATTTAATTCTGTTTTTATGACTGAATAATATTCCATGGTGTGTGTGTGTGTGTGTATTTTTGAACATGAGAGTGCATGTGTCTTTTCAAGTTAGTATTTTTTTCTTCTTTGGATAAATACCCCAAAATAGAATGGCTAAATCATATGGCAGTTCTAGTTTCAATTTTTTTAGAAATCTCCATACTGCTTTTCATAGCGGCTGTACCAATTTACATTCCTAACAACAGTGCATAAGGGTTCCTTATCTCTGCATCCTTGGCAGCACTTGCTACTGTCTTTTTGAAAACAGGCATTATGATGTGTGTGAGATTATATACCTCATTATACTTTTGATTTGCATTTTCCTTATCAGTTATAATGAACACCTTTTTGGGTGTCTGTTGGCCATCTGTATGTCTTCTTTGGAAAAACATCTATGTATAGCCTTTGTCCATTTTTAAATTGGATTGTTTGTTTTTTGCTATTGAGTTGCATAAAAAAACCAGGAATAACATTAACTAATCTACAGATCTTACTCAAATTTCACAAACTATCTTACTAGTCTTGGTCCAGGGTTCAATCTAGGATCATACATTACATTTAATTGCCATGTCTCCTTAGTTTCTTAATCTGGAAAGTACCTCAGTCTCTTTGTTTTCCATAATCTTGACATTTTAAAAGAGTACTGGCTAATTATAGGATATCCTTCAATTTGGGTTTGTGTATTGTTTCTTCATGGCTGAATTTAGGTTATGCATTTTTTGGTCAGAATACTATAAAAACGCTCTTGTGCACTTCTCAATGCATCATATCAGCAGGCAAAAACCCTGAATCTTACACATTATGGACAGTTAAAGATGATTAAATATTTGAGGAAAGTTTATTACTAGAAAAAAAAAGAGACCTAATCCAAAAGACAAGCAGCAAGAAGGGACTCAAATGAATAAGAATTAAGTCAGACTGCAGGAGAAATACTTGAGAAAAACTAATTAATGTTCTTGGAGATAAGAGACAAACATCTAGCAAACAGGATACAAAGTTATAAAAAAAGAAGCAATTAAAAAATAAGAAAGAACTCTTGGGAATTAAACATTATCTGAAATTAAACATTTAAGATAGAGTTAAAGAAATTTCTCAGAAAGCAGAACTAAAACACCAAAGAAAAAGACCGCAGAATTCCCCTAGTAAGGAAATTACAGGATAAATTCTAAAAGTCAATTTCTAAGTAACAGGCATTCCAGAAAGAAAAAAATACAGGGAAGGAATAATCAAAGAGGCATTTTAAGAAATTTTCCTTAAACTCAAGAAAATGAATTTTGACAGTGGAAGGCCTCACTGAGTATTAAGGAAAATGCTTGAAGAAAAGACCCATAGCAAAGCACATCACTGTGACATTTCAAAGCACCAGAGATAAAGAGATTCCAAGAGCTTTGAGAGATACAAAACAGATCATACTCCAAACTGAAAGACAAGAAATAATGCTTTCAAAATTCTGAGAGAGAAAAAAAAAATGTATCCTGTATAAAATTCTATACCCAGCCAAAATATCTTTTCCAATAATGAAAGCAGAATAAAGACACTGGTATTGTAAGGTAACAGAAGATATATTTTGCCAAAATGAGGGCGTATGCTAAAGAAAGATGCAGGGGATTCAAGACAGGAGAGAAGAAAAAAGAATCTCTAACAGGGTTTTGTGAGAATTAAGTTATTAAATATACACAAGGTACTTTGCATAATACATAGTATGCAGTAAGATTCAATAAATGTTAGCCATTATATTTGAAATGCTAGATATTATAATGAAATCCCTGCTCCCTTTACCATGGACCCGTCTTTGGACATTTCAAATAGATACATACCATTAAAGGAGCATGACTGAAGAGGGAAGCCTAGCAAATTAGCTTAGTTTAGGGGCATATTCCTATTCTTGAACATGAACTGATGATAATTTTTGAAATGGACAAGTTGCCTTTAATGATACCCCCAAGGCCATGCTATGGTATATTTCTTTTGTTTTTATGGCAAGCAGATGTTATATCCCATAAACTTGATCTTTAAGCAGCTATGAATAACAAAGTAAAACAAAATACAGAAATACCTCAATCAGGATAACTGAGGGATAAAATATTTTGGTTAACTGAATTATCTAATAAACTTAGGTTTAGGCTTAACCAGGTAAAGAAACAAAACATTTTTGATGGATGCTGTCTTACTGAATAGCCTTTTCCACAGTAAACTGAATTCAGTGAGCATCTATCTGTTTGATGATTCATGATCTTTTAGTGCTTCAAAAACATTGATGTGGTCACTTATCACTAGAGTAACACACATAGAGAACAGGGTTTCTTAACATGGGCACTATTGACAATATAAGCCAGATAAACTTTTTGTTGCTGTGGGGTCTGTTCCATGCGCTGATGGATGTTTAGCAGCATCCTAGGTCTCTACCAATTAGATGCCAGTAGCACTCCTCCATCAGTTGTGATGACCAAAAATATCTCCTGCCATTGCCAAATGTCCTTTGGGTAGCAAAACTGTCCCTGGTTGAGAACCACAGCTATAAAACAGAATGTCTCAACCAATGAGCAAAAGACACAAAACAATGGCTTTACTGAGATATAACTCACATCCTATACAATTCAACCACTTAAAGTTTGTAATCAATTTTAGAACATTTTCATCACCCCCAAAAGAAAATCCATATCTATCAGCAGTCACTCCCCATTTCCCTCCTCTTTCTC